ATGTTGGGGTGACATCACACAGCTGCTTGACTCTGGGGTCTTTAGAGTGACCACGGTTTGGGACTTTCCTTGCAGAGACGGACCGTTTTTTTTTTTTTTTTGTTCTATTTATTGTTGTAACCCAAGTAAAAGATGTCTAGGTAACCTCTGTACTTCGTTTCAAGTGGACAGAATAATAAATCCCGTCGTAACAAATGGTTTGTTTCAAGCTGCCTGTTATTTTATCATCACAGTCTGCACAAGCGTGATGGATAAGCTATGAGCCCTGGTTGTTTGTATGAGTGGATAGCATGCCAAAGCAAACACGTGCAGGGCTAAAAAAGTGAAAAATGCGGTGAGAGGCAGCAACATAATTCTGCAGCAGATCCCGGATCTGAGGGTTCACACTGAGGTGAGACAGGCAAGATGTAGAATAAATAAAAACACCCCTGAAAGTCCTTGGCTAAATAAATTATGTGCAAGGACGCGTAAGCTTGCTCTTCATGAAGTGGTGAAAGCCCAGAGTTTCTCCCTGGTTAGTCTGGAGTGAGGAGGCCTGGAGCCACGGATCTTTAAGTCCTCTGTCAAACAGCACTTTATGCATCTTTGTTGCCGTTACTGTAAGTCTCATCATATGTCCCCATCACCGTCGTATCCTTCTGTATGTTCAGGGTGGGATCAAAAGTTTTTTTTTAAAAAGACCAAAAAGGGAAGGAAAGACCAAAAAGGGAAGGAAAAAAAGGAAGGCAAGAAAGAAAGAAAGAAAAAGCAAACCAATAGTGTCAGGAAAAAAAAAGGAAAAAGCAGAATATCTCTTAAAGCCACTCTTGTGCAGCGAGTCCTCGCAGTCCTGAGCAGCCTCTAATTAGGGTAGTATTCAGGGGTGGCATTAGTTCCCAAACTTTTTAATGGGGTGGAAAGCATTGCTCCCTTTAGAGGGAGGGGATAAGTGTAGCGACGGTTCCATACACTGAATAGCAGATTCAGCACCTCCCTGGGAGGTATTCAGCCTTTTTTTTCAAAAATGTATTTAATTCCTATTCTCGTTTCTTTTCCAGCTGCATTCTAATTTCCTCGGTCTCCTTTACTTATCATGCATATTTAGATTTTCTTAATAACATACCACGTCTCAAGCAACGATTGTAAAAAATAGTCCTACTCCATTAGAACAAAATGATTATGTTATTCACAATAATACGAGATGCACAAAAATATTTAACATTTTTTTAGCTTTTACATTTCATAGAAAAGTTGATATTCATCCAAAAGTTTTCTTCTTTCTTAATAACTTTCTTATATTCATATTTTTCATGTATAAATACATCATTTGGGGATACCAATGTACAATTTGGTGCAATATGCATCAAGTCCAATACGTGGGACACTTTTTATGTGTGTGTTTGTTATATTATCATTTAACAAAACATATGTTTTCCATAGGTTCTCCAGTCATTTTTTGTCATTTAAATTAATGATTAATGTAGCTGGAAAAAACAATGCTTAAATTAATTAAAAAAGTCTGAATTTTCTGTACTGAAAAGTTTCTAAACGTTTATCTTATAAAACTTTCTACAGTTCCAGAAGTAATTACTTGTATTTCTGTTTACTTGGATTTTTCAAAAAGCCTGGACTAAGTCAGACATTTCCTGGTATCAATTTATGTAAAACCTTTATGGATTTGAATGATTTAGCATTTCAGAAATCTAAGGCTTATTAGTATATATTAATCTTTTATACTGAAACTAAATTTGATATCAACATCTCGTATAAATGTTCCATTCCACCTTCCGTTTCTTTATGTGCTGCTGTTGAGTGAATAACTTATATGAATAATAAAAATCTAACAAGAGCTATTTTGACGCTACAAATTTTAATGCCTTTGCAATATTTTTTTTAGGCGATCTCAGTTTTATCTATTATTTAAACCCACTGTAAGCCTAAACTGTCAGTAATCCTATTTTGTATAAATATTCTGTAAATCTGAGGTGGGTGGGGGGGGACTGCTTTTCGCCATCAGAAACTATTAAAAGGCCCAAATTTACGGTCTTTTTAAGCCAGCAGCAAGCTTTCCAATGGTAGCCAAAATAACAGGTTTGCTTAAACAGAAGTAGGCTATCATTCATTCGTATCTTTGGGGTTGAAGTTATTGTTGCTGTTGAGAATTTTCCTCGGAGTCCAGCGTCTTTTTATGGGCAGCGCGCTGCGTTTGATCCCCTCTCCTCCTGACCTGTGACCCAGCAGGATAAACTGCAAACTGAGCTTCAGTCATGCTCAAGGAGGCTGATGTCCACATGATCCGTGACATGTAAAGCCACTTCTTTTTTTGTTTTCAAATCAACAGGCCGAGATTGCCTTTTTTCCCTATAACACACTCACTCACACACACACACACACACACACACACGCCCTAAAGTTTCAATAAAAAGTGCCGGTCTTTATCTCTGCTCAGCGTGTAACACACACGCTCCTCATATCTGAGCTTAATTTGATAATTCTGATAAATGCAACATAAATTATTAAATGTTTATTTCTTATTTGTGTATTTCTTAATTGATACATTTCAATTACGTAAAATGCTACTGTGGAGTTCATAAGATGGTTAATGGGGAATTTAGTATTTTTTTAGTTTTTTTTTTATGGGCAAACAAGCACGTTTTTCAACTTTTTTTTTTTATAGCAGTAGTATTTTTCCTCGAGTCTTTAATTACCATGTCTTATTGAATAAATTAGTTCAACAACAAGAAAGACTTTTCAGTCACAACAGAGAACATGAAAAAATATCACTACATTCACAGAATGTAACATAATGATGTTTAGACGGCATACTGAGAGTTTAGTTTGTTTAAAAGTTCCTCGTTCAAATTGTGTGAGAGCTGCTCTTTATGGAAGCATTATTTCTAAATGAAGTTTCCCAGATCTGAATACACGCATTGGAACACAGTGCGAGCGTGTTTTACGTTCAGATTGTAACAAAACAGTGTCCGGCTATGGTCACTGGCCTCCTCGTTTTGCTGCATATTTTCTATAATATTTCAGGGTAATCAATGAAAAGAAAAGGCTGTTCACACTACTCCATCAGGCTTCCCGTGTTAAAACCCCAAACCTGCGAGAGAGTGTGCTCTGTCTCTAGCTATTATTACCCATCAAGAGTATCGAATTGCTTATTTCTAAAGATGCATAAATCACCACAGGCCATAAATACAAGTTACTGCACCGCACAGGCCGCACAATTCAAATCTTACAGTCTCTTGCAGTGGATGAATAAATCCCACGCCGTCACACAACGCGCAATAATGTGTCTTATTGCGTTTTTTCTTGGCTTTTTTTCTCCCCCCATTTAACCTCGTCTATTTGTAAACTGTACAACTGACCTCCTTCCCTGCTGCTGCCCCCCCCCCTCTCCTCTCCTCTCTCCTCTCCGTGCGCGCGTTTGTGTCTGTCTGTTTTTCTCGTTGCGTGTTACATCATCACGCAATAGCTGTCCTCTCGTGGCCTACTGAACTGGCTGGGAGCGCAGCACCGATTTAGCCCCTCCGACGCGCGCTGCTTTGGATCAGTGGAGGGCAGACGCACGCACGCAGGCGACGGGCTCACGCGTCCAGTCACGGAAGCGCTGCCACAATAAAGCCAACGCACCATGGGCTGCTGAAAAACCCAAAGATTTAGAACTCTGACAGCAGGCGTGCAGCTCCTATAACGCTTGCCTTTGTTTTCCAAAAAAAAAGCCTCTATCGTCTAACACATGTCAATAAATATTGAATTATAACTATAACAGTGTGAAACTATGCTTTTTGTGACTGATCAGGGTTGGAGGGGAAAAAGGGGTCAAAATCAGTGGTGAGCATACTGCAAAAAAAAAAAAAAAAAAAAAAACAGTGAGTGGATTTGGGTGATTTTAACCTCCAACACATGCGTGACCCTTTTGATCCGTGTGGCCCCGGGCTGCCGGACTACCGTTCCATTTTTCTATGGGGCAAACCCTACATAATGAAACATTTGCATGAGGAGAGTTTTTCTCAAGAGGCCCGTCGAAAACACACGCAGAACACCCAGCCCCGGCTCACCCCGCGTGACACCGGCCCGTCCGCGCGCCGTCATTTACGCGGACGAGTATTAAAGGGGTCGAATGGACACTCAGGTCCCGTGTGCGCATGTCCCAACGCGCGTGTGTGTGCAGCATTTAAACCGCCAGCCAGGTAAACATTTGGAAATATGTGCATCCTCTCACACATGCGCACAGGAAACGTGGGGGGGTGTTTTAACCCCACTCCAAGCTTCCTTAAGTCAGTTGGTACCTTTCCTAATTTAGATTCTTCGTTGTCACGAACACATCCGGGACACAATAAGGTTAAAAAAAGCCCTTTGGCTGTGTTAAAGGCCTAAAAATCTCAATATAATGTTTTTTTAAAAATGTATCTCCAAACAATTTGACCTTATTTTGCAAAACAAAATTTATTCTTTTTGAAAAACAAACCGTGTAAAAATATCACACTTCAATTACACAATACTTGCCAAAAATGTACAATAGTATTACTGAAAATCAACACACACTGCATATAATTATAAATGTATGACTTTGCTTTGTGTTTTTTTTTTATACAAATCTCAAATCAAAACTTTAAAACCTTGTTTTGATCCGCTAATAGAAAAAAAATGGATGTGTTTGACACAAATACATTATTAGCCTTTAAAACATGTGATCATTTATAACCTGTCCATTAGGTCCTGAGACGTTCTAAACAGTGAGTGAAACGAAATCACCTCATGGAAAATACAAAAGGAAGGTCGTGGTCAGAAATCTGATTCACACTGAGCGAATAAACATGAACATAAATATCTCAAACAGCATGAATATATAGGCACAAATAGTGTTTTGTATGTCCATCATTCTGCTGCGTGCTATCAAACAAACATACAAAAATAATCCTACCTTCAGAGAGGGGCGTTTTTTTTTGTATTTGTTGCTGAGTCTTTAAAAAAAAACAAAAAAAAAACAAAGTCTTGATAAGTTTGTTTGACATTTAACAGGCGCTAGTGCCGCCGACCACTCTGTTGGGAAAGTTTTCAACCGGGTGTAGAACCGTTCCTGAGTGGACGGTTTGTGGCTGTCCGGCCGCGGGGAGCCCCAGGGTGGTCGGTAAGACCGGGACGACGACCGGGGGAGTCCTGGAGGGGCTGAGCGAGCCTCCGATGATGCTCTCTATGGAGAACGGGGAGCGCTGCGCCGGGGAGCCGGACTTGTGCGCCGGGGACGCAGCCTGCGCGCCCGGGGAGCCCAAACCGGAGCCGAGCTGGGGGTAAAACCTACTTCTGGCTAAGTCCGTGGTGGTGGGCATCAAAGATGGTGAGGGGATAATGGTCCCCGCGTGCGAATGGGAATGCCTGGAGTGTTGTTGCTGCTGTTGCTGCTGCTGTTGCTGGAACGCAAAAAGAGCAGAGTGCGTGTGGTAGGACTGGAGCTGGATGCCGTATCCCCCGCAGCCGTACGGTCCGTATCCGTACGCGGCGGCTGCAGCCGGGATAAACGCGTTGTGCTCCCGTAGGAGGTCCTGCGTCTGCTGCCGTTTGAAGCGTTTCCTGCGCCTCAGAAAGCTCCCGTTGTCGAACATGTCGGCCGACTCCGGGTCCAGGGTCCAGTAGTTGCCCTTGCCCGGGTTCCCGGGCTCCCTCGGTATCTTAACAAAGCAGTCATTGAGGGATAAGTTGTGCCTGATGGAGTTCTGCCAGGCCGGGAACTTCTCCCTGTAGTAAGGGAAGCGGTTGCTGATGAAGTCGCAGATCTCGCTCAGGGTCAGCCGCTTCTTGGGACTCTGCAGGATGGCCATCGTGATTAAGGCAATGTAGGAGTAAGGGGGCTTCACCAGGGTGTTCTTGCCCGTCGGCTTGAAGGCATCCCGCGAGGAGGTGGAGCCGTCCAGGCACGGAGGAGAGCCGGCCAGCAGGATGCCGTCGCGCATCTGCGCCACCTCGTCCACGTAGGAGCGCGTCTTGTGGTCAGCGTCCTCGCCCTCGCCCACCACGTCTATGTCGGTCTCTTCCGACAGGATGGAGGCATCCGACATCTCCGAGCTCAGAGTCATGGCTCTCTCTCCCTCCCTCCGACGCCTGGACGAGGAAGACGATGGGATGCACAAGCTGCCCTGCTCTTCCCTCGTCAAAAACTCATATGAGGGGGAGAGGAGAGGAGCACGTGTCGCCACCGGAGAGAGACGTCCACTCGTTTGGTCGCTATTTCCATAGGTTTTTTAAGGGCTTTTTCTGTTGTTGTTGTAAACCGCCGTCTTAAGAAACAACCACCAAGTGAGCGCGGAGCAGGGAGAAACCTGCGGAGGGGGGAAGCCTAAATCAGATAGGGGGCGGATCTTCTCTCGGTATTTATATCACCGCTCTGATCACATGGGGAGGAAACGTCACCCGTGGCAAATAAAAGGAGAGGGGAAAAAAATAAATAACAAAAAAAAAACGGGGCTTTGAAAATTAACCGTGAGTGATTTTTTTTTTGGAGGAAAAAAAAAAAGAGAGAAAAAAGTTTGGCGAGGCCAGCATCCTTTCTAGTGGCGTGTAGTCCGCATGACTAATCCAAAGACTTTATTCCATACAATGATCTCCACAAAAAATAGAATTAGGAAGTTAGAAAAAGACCATAAGGAGAGAGTAATTGCTAGTGTGGTCGTAGAAATTGATATTTTGACAAGCATTTATTTATACAGCCTAAGCCTGTCATTAATGTGAAAGCATTAAGGGAGCATGTGAACCTTTTGATTTGAATTTTTATTTTCACATCCCCAAAACTGTGGATTAAAAACCATTTAGAGGCTATAAATATATTAAAAAGATAATATCTGAAGCAACAGGCCAAAGTCGTCAATCGAGGGAGACTAGTATGAGGTTTATAGTCATTTATTGTGGAACAGCCCACCGCCAGGGTGTGGCGCACCGCATCAGTTTGGGTTTGCGTGATCCGGTAGTTCTCCAGATTATCCGCGAGCCATTTGTAATGGAAAAGAGTCAGCTGTTAACTCGAATCAGTCACGGGTCATGCAGAGCATGCAAAGCCCCACATCCAAGGCCTCCGCCACGCAGCAGCAGCAGCAGCGTCTGGGCTGATGCTGTTCGGAGGAGTGTGTGTGTGTGTGTGTGTGTCTGTGGACGTGCCTGTTCACTTCTGTTCATCACGGAGCCTGAGCGACGGAATTAATATTTCATGGAGTTTGTTTTGTCTAACGATGGTTGGAAAAACAGAGAAACGCGTCGTCGTCTTCATGTGTCAAAGGAAAATTGCACAATGCGCGTAACCTAATTAAAAACAGCTTTCAAACCAAGGCCAGCTATTTTTCTTTTTTTTTTTTACTCGGGGGTGTTATTATTTATTAGTCGTTCACAAACTGTCAGTAAAATCTTCAAAACAGTCTCTTTAAAAACGCACGCTAAAGTCAGAGTGAGTTACTCCGATTTTCTTTTGGAGAATCCATCTGCTTTGCCTTTAAAGTGACACTTTCAAGCCAGAAGTCTTTATGAAGGTTTGAGAGAAATGAGGGCCCACAATTATTGCCAAAGAAATCGAATAAAATATGTATAATGACGAAAACCTACACAATTTTTATTTTTTTAAAACTTATTTTCATTAAGTATGTAAACGATTATAAAAACAGAGAAAAACAACTTAGTTCCAGTTTGTATCCCCCCCTCCTCCCCTATATAGTGGCTTTTGGTATGCAGCAGCCCTGAAGACGCGTGTGGACGCAGTTCTTTGTACGTCTACCAACTGGTTGTTGTTTTACGTTCCGTTTGGCCTCGTTAGAACTTTGTTTGGACGTTGCCTTTTCTACAACGCCATCTAGCGACCAATTTAATCCGTAATTATCAGAACAGCAGTGGCTCAAAATATGCTGAACGCTGTGCCTACAGTTCTGTGCATTAGTCAACTTCTTAGTTAGATTATTGAGAAACGACATTACCTTGTAGAGAAACTACTCACTGAACACTGGGATTAAGCTAAATGAAATAAAAGGAACGACAAAATTAAGGAGATATAAATGTAGTATAAAGTAACTTGATAACATGAAATGTCTTCTGATGTCACCTTTTCACATCCATTTATAGTTTGGGTATTTCTGCTTAAATGAGAATGAAGAGGAGTTCACTACTGCAAAAAAGGCTGCATAAAGAGAGATGTTATGTTTTTTTGTGTGTGTGGTTGTGTTACAAGTTTGTGCATTTTGTAACGTTTTTTTATTTATGTCACAAAAAGTGAGACAGAAAATTCAATTGTCAAAACGTTTAATCCAGGCATCTAAGTAATTTAACACTTGATATTAATGTCATGATGAGAGATTCTAATTTTCTTCAAATTTCTTTAAGATTTCAAATTAGCAATGTTAGAGAACTGCACAGCAAAATGAGGATAACAAATAAAAATCACATACTACAAATCATATCTTTCCTTCAAGCCAGGTTCTTTAGGTGACTTACAGTAAAGTTTGGGTTTGGATTGAAATGTTCAGACTCAGATTGGTTGGAAAAAATGCACATTTAGCCAATTCAAACTGACTGTAAACCAATTGTGATGACCAATATGGAGGCAAGTACAGTTTTTAAGAAGTGCTTGTTCAGCACAGATCAAACAAGAGACCATAAATATTCATATTTCTCCTCCAAGGTTTGACAGCAAATGTACGTTCTACTCACATTTTAGAAGTCTGTGAAAACAGGTCCACCAAACATATTTTCCTCCTCAAAAGTTCTAACATTTTTAGAAGAAAGACTTAACCAAAAGCTCCCCAAAAGTCAAAGATAAGAGAATAGCAATAGAGTAGCGCGTTAGAAAGAGAATGGCGTGCTAGGACTTTGTTTTTCTTTTGTTTCTTTTGTGTAGCGTTTATCTTATCACAACACATTTATGGGGTAAAAAGTAGGTTTACAGTCCAGAGTGATAACAGACTCTGTGTTCACACTAATGTGCACGCGTTCATGATCTCAACACAACATATTTAACAATGATCTAACAATGAGAGACCAAAAACCGCTGCTGCTACTTGTGAGACTTTTCATGCATGACTTCTACGTGTCTTATTTTGGTTGTGTTTTACTGTTTGTGTATATATCAGCACATCACTAAAGTTTATAGTGCGATATTATATTGCACTATGACTAAGCACTTGGACAAAAATGGCTTTGATAACTATCCAGGTGTTTTTGTGTTGTCTTATCTGTTGTGTTGTTAGATAAATTTCTTTCTTCATATGCAAATGTATTATCAGTTTTGACATGTTTTTCTTTAAGAAGGTGAAGGGACCATTCATCCCAGACATTTGCTCTGTGTGCCATTCATTCTGAAGTACACTTATTCCGTTTTGACACTTGACCTCAGATACCTCTTTGCAAAGCGCGGTTAATTTTTTTAAGAAGGGGAAATTGAATGTGGGGTTTGACACGTTTTTGCATTTCTTTCTTACGATATAAATTAATCTATGAAAGCAAACAGTGGTTTTGCTGAATGCTTTTGATATAATTTTTCTTATTTTCTTATAATTTTTTTAAATAATTAAAAAAAAAAAAGTTTTTTCATTGTGCCATTTGTGACATATTGGTCTTGTTTCGATTGCACGATTGTTAGATCTTGAACTTCATGGTTTTTGATTAACAAAATCTTACAATGAATCGCAATGACAATGGCATGTAAACTGTGTTTCCTAAAACCTGTCAAACTCTGCACAGGGCAAACAAAGCCCGACTTTCCTTGCTACTTCTTGCCTGACGTCACTTCCTGCCTTCTCTCTCGCTTCCATCTTGTTCCCCGCATGTGTCTGCTGTTAGTGTACAGGTCAGTGAGGAGCTTTAAATACCTTCTTCCCTGCACTGTTACCCCCCGATCCGACGGCAAGAGGTAAACGAAAGCCTTTTCCGACCAGAGGGCTGAAATCCGCCGGAGTTTGAAGCTAACGTAACTGACGGTTTAGTGTGTGGCAGAGGCTGTGAGTGACGGGCCGTAGTTAGCCGAGGAGCTAGCTGGAGATAGCATGCAAGCTAGTACCCAAAAAAAAACTCAGCCGCACCTCGTTTCGACTGAACAGGCGTCGGTTGAGAAAAATAAACAACAAAAAAAACGCTCCCATGTCAACCACAGGGCCGTTGTGTTGTTTCACGCAGGCTAAAGCATCCTCACCCGTTTGCTTTGGTTCGTCCATGACACGGACTGCAAACCAGGGGAGGCTTCGGGCTTTTTTGCTAGCAGCTAACTTGTTGCCCAAATAACGCCGATAATTTGCACTGACAGCTCCGTTTCTGCCCCAATCCCGCTCTCTAAACAAGCTAACCGCTCGTTGCCACACCCACACGGTTGCTGCCCCCCTCCCCTCCGCAGAAAATAATTGTATTTATTTTCAATTACTCTCGCAAAGTAGTTTTTATTGATATTTGTGTGTGTTTTTATGTCTGTTCCTTAACCGCACGAATATACTTAGGAATATTTGAAAGATTGGAAGAGTTATATTTTTTTTCCAACTTGAGGATCCATTAATAATTGTTGGTTGCTGAAATATATAATGTGAGTCAAATTATCTTCTTCATATAAGATCAGAAACATATATTTTTAAAGAATATTATTTTTTAAAAACATTTTTCCATGATAGTCTCACATTTCTCAGCTGTTTTTTGGTCTAAATGTGTCTCCTGGCTGGATCTTATCTCATCTAATTCAGTATGTGTAACAGTTTGAGTAGAACTGGTGGATTGGCAGATATGACACAATTCAGGTTTCGGTGTGGAGGCTCTTGTTTTGTTGTTGTTGATGCTTAAATGTTTCTAGACATTGTGTTGAGTATTTTGTTTCACAAAATACAAAACTCTTTATCATGCCTTTTAAGGTGGGTAAAACTTATTTTTGTCTGCCTTTTTATATTGCCAACAACAGATAATGTTTTCCATTGTTTGGCTATTTTGGGTTCAACAAAGAAAGTTGATAAATAAAGAACTAAAGAACTCGGTGTCTCTGCTCCGTGTGGATAAGGATTATCAGGACCTTGCAGCTCTCTATCTTCCGCCAGCTGCCAATCATTTTGTTCAGCCATCCAAATGGGGGAGAAATTTAAATTTCTCTGATGAACACCTGCTCTGGTGACAACGTCGTAACCACGTGCGATGTTCTCTCTTTTTTTACAGATGAAAGAGGCAATTATGAATCAAGAAAAACTTGCCAAGCTACAAGCGCAAGTCCGTATTGGCGGAAAGGTAAAGTGTAAACACGCCCCACCAAGTTGACATGTTTAAAAAATGCAGGTTCAGAAATTCAGGATAAAGATGTAAACATTAAAGGAAAGGACCCATATCGACTTCCAAAACAAAATGTTCGGCTGAGGGTGGTTTGAGCTCAGCCTGACGAACGTTCTCCCGCCTCTCTCTGCAGGGAAGCGCTCGCAGAAAGAAGAAGGTTGTGCACAGAACCGCCACCGCAGATGACAAGAAGCTCCAGTTCTCCTTAAAGAAGCTGGGTGTGAACAACATCTCCGGCATCGAAGAGGTAGGAAGCTCCGCCCCCCCGCGGTCTGCGCTACGCCCCCCGAGCACTCGCTGACGTTGCCGGCGTCTGCCCCGTTTTTTTTCTTTTAGGTCAACATGTTTACAAACCAAGGCACGGTCATCCACTTCAACAACCCCAAAGTGCAGGCCTCCCTGGCCGCCAACACCTTCACCATCACCGGCCACGCCGAGACCAAGCAGCTGACCGAGATGCTGCCCGGCATCCTCAACCAGCTGGGAGCCGACAGCCTGACCAGCCTCCGACGGCTGGCCGAGGCCCTGCCCAAACAGGGTCAGTGCCGCCCCGCCGGGGCTCCGCGCGCGTCCGTCTCCCTCCTTTTGCCCGCCGGCTAAACCTCCCTCTTGTCTGCTCTCGACAGCTGGCGATGGAAAAGCGCCGATTGCAGCGGTAGAAGAGGAAGACGACGACGTTCCAGGTGAGTTTGGGCCGGGCTTAATAAATCAGCTTTACACTGTTTGATCGCCGTCGCAGTATCCCCCCCTTTTTCTCCCTTTTTTTTTTGTCACCAGTCAAATAGATGTGCCAGGTTTGCTTTTTTTTATTTTTTTCTTGGCTTGTGCGAGGGGGTCACACGAAGGGGATTCATCACTTACTTTAGATGATGTGCAACGCGGAGTTTTGTTTGAATCTCACGTTCGGTGTTTATACGATCGTACAGTGGAGTTTGCTTTTCTTTGCGGGGAAAACGGAGCCAAACACATGAGGTTGCCATTAGAACAATCTCAGCCTTTCCCAGGACTTCTCTCCCTCTCCGCCCCGGTCCGGGCTAACGCAACAAACCATGGCATGTGTATTCAGCAATCGGAGCGGCCGGTGGCACCGGGGTTAACGGCCGATGCCATGGCAGTGTTATTGGAGTTAAGTTTCCTCTTTGTTCTCCCACTGAAGGGAGCGTGTTTACCCAGGACTTTTGAATTGTTTCCATTTAAAAGTCTCAACCCTTTGAGACCCGACTTGGACGGGCAGATTTCTCACACATCACAGAGTAATTGAAGCCAAGTTTTTGATGCTTTTCCCCTCACAATTTTCACAGCTGCTCCCAGTAGTTGTGGGGCCCTCGTATGTGGAGCACATTTTGCACTCTGTGTGGGAGTGGGAGGGCTGACTGCAGAGCCCAGGACTGCGGAGTATCGCGTTTCGAATAAACACACTTTTCCTGAATTGCACTCCGGCACCTTCGGAGGGATTTCAGAAGATGGATATGCCTTTCTTTATTAATCAATCCATTCACCGACACATCTTTTCTTCCTTCAGATCTGGTGGAGAATTTCGACGAAGCATCTAAGGATGAAGCCAACTAGAGGAAAAGGGAAGCGTCAGAACTTGACAGGACCATATGGGGCACTAAATGTTAGAATTTCAATACCAAGAGGTGGGAAATAAACCGTTTAAACACCTGAGCAGATGAGTTAAATGACAACTTTTTGGCTGTGAACACATATGTTCAACACCTGAGTAAATTACTTGCATACTCTGAACAGAATTTTTTTTTTTGAGTAAATTTATAGAATAGTATTAAAACCGGGGTAGCAGTATTTAGGTGTACGGCATTTTTAGTACTCATTCCACCTCTTGTTTGCCATCAGATGCTCCAAGTGCTTGTTGTGCTCTTAATGTCCGGTTAGAGTGAGAGATTGTGTAAAACGTGGTGCTCGAGGCCACTGCTGTACACCCGTTTCCTCTGTGTTACTGAACCTTAAATCTGTGGCCTCCCTAAAACCACCATATCTGGAATAAACCTTTGCTACTGTCAATAAACAGCCAAATGTGTAAAAAAAAATTCTTTTTGTCATTCATCCTTCTCAGAAGTAACATTTTTACACAGCTGGAACTCCCACCGCTGTAGCAGGTTACTGAAAATACCAGTGTTTTGATGTCTTTTTGGAATCTGTGTTTAAAGTGAGGGGGGGGGACATCACCCCACGCTGTAGACCAAACCAAATTTGTATGTTTCCATGGTAACACTAAGAGATTATTGGTAAAGGTAGATCTTGTCACAAAGGAGGGACGGACTCAAAGAGAACACAAATTAGGTGGGGATTACACACCTCAAAGTTTATTAACAGGAGCTCCTGCAGAACAGTGAAATTAGCATGTTTTACATGCACTATGTAGGATGCTGTCACTCGTGGAGAGAACATGTCGAATTACGAGAGATGACGGGGCTGTGCACTTTTTCTGCAAGACTCAGAAAAGCCCATGAGATAATTATTTTAATTATGGCAAAACACTCTTAGAAATAACATTTCACAGTTTTATTTTTTACAATAGAATAATTTGACGCATTTATTTTAACTAATGCTATTTTTTACATTTAATTTAATGTACAGTCAAATTGTGAGTATATTAATTGAAGTTAAATTGTAGTTAAATATGATATCCGTAGCATCGACTTGTTGGTTAAATACAGACAGCATTCCCTTTTTTCATGTGTTCTCCAGTAACAAATCATTTTCCCCATGAATGGGATGCAGTTTAGAAAGACGGATCATTAAATAATTGTTTACCATCAAGAAAAATGTCACTACATAAAGTTTCTTGACTCGTTTTTTCTTTAAAAAAAAGAACTACAATGTTCTTGTGGGACATTTAATTTCAGTGTGAGGTCTTTTTAAATTCACAACACAGCATCACTGTACAGAAATACAACTTCATGGTCTAAACAATCCAAATAAATAAACCCAACACAAAAAAAATATTAAGGAAACGCGCAAGTAGCTTGGCAGCGTAACAAATCACAGCCTGTGCAACGTGCCTCAGAGGTGTGCTCACAGTGAGGACCGCACACTCTGACCATGAGGCAGATGAACATGTTATATTAAAATTCTCTTAGCTTTAAAAACGGCACATCGTTAGGTTAAGTCGGTTTTAAAAAAAACAAAACAAAAGAAACGGATGGGGAACGGACAATAAGCCGTTATGGCATGAGAAGAGCGACAAACCTCTCGACTATTAACGACACAAAAATCCAACCGTGAAGACCCGTCATGTGCGCCATGCTCACAAGATTAAAAACGAATTAAATCAAACGATGCAACGCTGCTGGAATCTTTCTTCAGGGAGCGCTAAAATGCCCCCCAAATGATTGTCCAGCGCCCGGCCGTGTCCTTCCAGTGTTTTCCTGCTCCGGCGCCGTCGCTCATTCCCGGATTCCCATCAGCAGCTTCAGTAAGTGTGCCTCCATCACCTGTTGGACTGAACAGAGGCGCGGCGGGTTTCGGTGAGCACAGCCGTGACCGTTTCTGGAGGCCAGCCAAGGCCGGCCGGCGGGTGTTGGACCGAGTACGGCGCGAGTTCACGGGACATTAAAAAGTGAACCTGAATCCAAACACTTACATTCCCCTGAGACCACCCTTCACTCCCCGCACAAGACAAGGAAGGCTACTCTTTATTTATCTTAGAGGCAACTTTTACTTTGCTGCTTCCAACAGAGGAACAGCGGCTGGAAGCAGGAAAGTAAAAAAATCAACATCGGCTCTCTTACTCATGCCGGAGTAATTTACGACAGGAAAAAATCTGATCCTTTTTGCCTGTGTCAAGTCAACATGTCTGGAAAAACAAAGAACTGGTGGGGGAATTTCTGCAGAAAATGTAAACGGAGAGTTCTCTTAAAAAAATAAACCGGGCTGGTCAGCATTGGTCAACTTTGTGGGTGTGGACTCCACCTGCCGGGGTTCATTTGGATGTATGATAAGCAGTTGATAAACAGTTTTTTACTCACCATTTCGATGGCCCATGGCCACGGCCATGTCCATCGCATTAAATCCAGAGTCTGACTCGATAGTCGGATCAGCACCACTCTCTGAAAGACACGCAAAAACACCAAAACACTACTGATAAGCGAGCTAATGCTTGACGCAACAGGTAGGACTGCTTCCATGCTGATCCTCTCAGGACATAGGGGGATATACTCATGAGCATCCTCTCACCTAACAGGATCTCCACACAGCGCACATGGTTGCCGTGGACAGCGTAAAGCAGAGGTGCCCCTCCATTCTGAAGCCCAACAAGAAAAGAAAAAGGTTACAATCACATAGTAATAACAACAAGAAAAGAAAAACTAACAATAAAATCAACTCATACCCAGTCGTATTCATTTACATCCACTCCACAGTCGATGAGCATCTTCACAATATCTGTGTATCCCTTACTGCAGGCCAGGGACAACGCACTCTCCCTCCCTTTAGCCAGCAGGTTTGGGTCGGCCCCCTACGGCGCGAGGTGACACAGAGTACACTGAATAAATGGTTTTCTGTTGTTGAAGAACATAATCGGGTCCCATACACCCCCCCTCCCAGCCCATACATTTTGGAGGAGAAATTCAACGACAGCGATTTGTCCGTGTGCGGCCGCCCACATCAGCGGGGTGAAACCTTCCTCGTCTTGGAGATTGATGACAGTCTCTGTCCACAGAAATATACAAAAGATTCAAAATGAGATTCAATTTCCATTTGCAGCACCGGAACACTGAAATCCTTTGACGTTTCCCTTAAGAGTCATACAGCACATATTGGTAGGGTTACTGGATATCCATTTTAGAATATATAACACATGAAACAAACCTGATTAACCGGACTGGATATGAACACATGAGTTAAGAACTTTCAGATCGATCTAATGAAAAATGATGAAAATACGAATAAAAATGCTTGGTTTATTTGCTAATCTGGATTGCCGGCATGATAAAAGACAACTGCAGACAAAATTTTAGATTGAGTTAACAGTATGAGTAATTCGTAGTCCAATTAGTACAGGCATTACTGGATAAGTGTCGATGCATGACTGCGTAACGACGAGGAACTGCCAACCTTGTTCAATCCTGCTGGCCAAAAACACCATTTCTCCTTGTGCTGCCAGCTGGTGAATTGACAAAGCTGAGAAGACAAACACGCACGTGTGACATTGACACTCTGAATTAAGCGATATTCTGATGAAAGCGTCGAAAAGGTCAGGCGACACTTACAGTGCACCAGCAGAGGTGTGGAGGAAACCTCGTTGCCTCTGTGTTTATTGGTGAGCGTGGTGGACTGTTTGATGGGGGAGAAATGTTTCGTGGTGGATGGCGTGTAGACGTGACGCACTTGTATGCCCGGCGAAGGTGAAGTCTGAATATTGCACTCAGCTGAAAGCAAGACAACATTTTTAAGAAAGAGATTAACATTTAGTTTCATTATTGTTCATTAGACTGTATGTACTGGAAGAAGATGGATCCCCCTCTGTCTTACCTTTGAATAAAACAGAAGCCACCTCCAGATCAGAGTTGACCTGGTCCTGGATGTTCTTGCTGTCCTCCTCGTTGAGCGATTTCACAAATCTTGAGCAAACGTTCATGTCAAAGCGGTTGGGCAGGATGAATTTGATGCCCATGGCCACGTTTTGAGGGTTTGTTTCATCGGGGGCCGTACCCACCGACTGCTCGGTCTTTACGGCACTCAGATCGGGCATCACGCAGATCCCTTCCATGTCCTCGGAGACCAGAGGGCAGTCCGCGGCCCCCTCTGCGGCTGACACGGTGACGCTGTCCATCCTCTGTCCGGTCACTCAGCTAACACACCGCGAGAAAAACGAAGCCGCTGCAAGCCTGCAGGACAACAATGGTGTCAGAATTTATGCAAAACGCAACACCCTGACAGTAACATTTATTCAAACCTGAGTATGCACAAACTCCAGAAATATGTGACTATATCTACAGTTGATCCTAAATTTTAAATCCCACCAAACCCCACTATTAGCCTCTCGTTAGCTCGATGGCTATTGTTACTGTAACCTTACGACAGACAATCTGTCTAAGGATATGGAAGTACCACGAAAATAATGCAATCATTAATGACAATATAGATAGATTTGCTAAAACATAAAAAATCTTACTTGGTGGAGCATTTCTTTTTCCTTATCAACCTCTTAAAACCATCTCCATTTAGTCGGTGTTTTGATATTGCTGCACATGCGCAGTAGGTTGCAAGGTACACCCGTTATTGACCTCCCTCTTCTTGGTTCCGACCAGACTTTACATTATTATAACCGATAAAAGTTGTTTTTTTTAGGCTGGGATAGGCTGCAACAATTTCCTGCAGACACGTTTCACCACTGTTTTTGTTTTTTCTGATTTTCAGATGAAGTAGACGTAATTCACTCAATTTGAAAAATCATCTCTGCTTTGTAAAATAAAGGGAAAAACTAAAAATAAATAGCTGTGTCCAATTTGCTATTTGAACAACTAAATAGTGGATTTTGTTTCTTGATATGTTGCACATAGACCATTATTTGAAAAACCTCCATCTACGTTTTATTTAGTTGTGCCAGCAGATGGCCCTATTGTCTCATGGGTTACAGCTGGACCTGCAGGCATAGGCTCTCCTCCTCCCAAACATAATGCAATATTTTTATAATTATGCAAGAAAACACTTGTTAGAAGATGGTTCTAAATTTGTTACTGTGTTAGACATTGGGCAGTATTGTGACAGCCTCCTAGCCTTCGCCTCCCCTTGATTAAATCCGCTTCTTGTTATCAGTTGATAAGTCTGAGTCCTGAAATGGTGGGAAAGTCCTCCTTTTGTGTCTCCTCAATGCAATAAGTCTGTGTGAACTTCAAGCCTCTGTATGCAGCTCTGGTTTAAATCCAAAACTGAAAGCTGTGAATATTGTTTTTTTTGTACAGCCAAGGGGGCATAAGGAAGTAAAGTGTTTTGTGCATTCTTATATTTCACAGTTTTTCTAGTTTTATTCTTACAAGACATCCTATGCTTTCGCAAACTTCTTTTTTTACAATAAGTATTATTATTATTTAATTAACATTGGGTGTGTAACTAGATACTCTCTAGTTGTAGTTTTCTTCATTAAAAAAGCTTTGACTAGTAAGCTTTTCACATAAAAAAGACAATAAAATGCAACTGATTTTTTAAGTTATTATATTTTCAAATCGTAAACATTCAATGACAGTAGCTGTGCTTTATATGTTCTTTGTATAATTAGTGTTCAGTTATCTTAAAAATAATAAAAACAGTAAATTATTAATTTCTTCTGAGATTTTGAAAAACAGGAGAGGCAATAATGGTACAGATATCTAATTTGTGCTATTAGATGGTCAAGTGAATGTTCATTTGTGGTGTTGAATCCACCCAATACCTTCCAGATGTTTTCATGCTAAAAGAAAGGAAGTGTGTGAAGTGAAGACCAATGAAAGTTTCTATTCAGTCAATAAAAAGGCAAAGATACGTTTATTGAGCAGGAGAAAGACACACGATTAAATGGATTCACCAAGAAAGTGAAACATATATTAATTTTAAAACCTTACCACTTTAAGAAACTGAGATCTAGTTATTTTCCATCACGGCAAACTTGAGTGTTTTCTTTACGTGGTCGAGAATAATATTATGAGTGACGTCACCCCACCTTGTCTACTATTGGTAGACATTTGTATGCGTTTCTGAAGCTGTTTTCCACCTTTTACGGAGAGAACTGCATTAAATAAAAACCTCCGATACGCATTACGTAAAAGAATACAATTAAGCTCGATGTCGTCGTCCTGGATCTGGTCTCACCTCGGCTGAGACCAGCTGCCCGGTAGGTGAGGGGGCTGGACCAGCCAGCGGCCGAATGGGAGGAAGAGACCACTCCGGCGACACCTGCAAACAAACTTCTCAGCTGACTTTTCCCGGAGCGAGAGGGACGGATGAGTTCGAAGCAGCTCGTGCGAAACAAGGGCGTGAAATGTGTCGAAACTTTCTAAGCGCCGAATCAGACGACAAAGAGACTTTCAAATAGAAAAGACGTGCGAGCGATCGGACCGAGAGCCCAGATCCCAGGCGACGAGCATCAGGTAAAAGCTGGTTCATCCTCATCTAGGAAAGTTCTGCTGACACCAGAACATGATGCCGGTGGGAGCGTTCAGGTCATTGATTGTCATTATTGTCTTATTCATGCGTTATTACCGCTGTAATGACGCAATTAAAGCGCAGTTTAATTCATTTGTTAACGAGTCTGCATGCTAAGGTGCGTTCACAGGTACAAAAGAAGCGTGTTTGGACTTATTGGGGTTGGTCTTCCGCTCTCGAGCATCTCTTTGTTGTGATCTTGCAGAGATCATTTTTTCTTTTGCTCTCGTGCGCTTGGAGAGAGACGCGCGTGGGTTTCACTTCCCGGTCAGTGCAGTAGAAGCTTTGTTCCTGATGGATTCTGTCAGTGTGGAAAAAAAAGTGTACGCAGCTTGTTTGAACTCCTTTGTTTGAGCAGTCCACCCATTAATATAACAAAAGATGTTTTGAAGGCATTAATACAATGACGCTTATAGTTTGCATCCCAAACAAAAAAAAACTGTCCTCAAGTCTTTTCTTTGTGCTTTCTTACAGTTGGTCAGAGAGAAAACATTCATGCATTTGCAGCATATTGTAACATCGATGTTAGTGAGTGAATGGGATACTTTACTTTAATCTCTTTAAGTTTCCTCAAATGTGCAGCACACTCAAGTTTACCACAGGTTGGAAGTCCCATAATGCATCTTTTCATGCAGCCTATTATGGCAACTTGTCATGTGGGTGGAATTTCAGCATTCACCCATTCATCAGCCGACAAACATCCAAGGATAACAGGACTGATTTGATAACGCCCGAGAACATTTGCATGACATGCATAAATGTCAGAAATCTTTCCCTAATGCCTTCTGACAGCATGAGTTCTCCGGTTATGAGTAATCTTTTTTCTCACGCTCTGTTTCGGAGTTCGTGGCCTTGAGCCAGGTCAGGTTTCTTCTCCAAACTGAAATTGTCTTTAGTTGCTTTATTAAAAAAAAAAGGGCTGAGGGGCAAAGACTGACACAAATTCTTTGCATACTGAAAAACTGAGCGATTCTTGGACTTGAGGATCACCTTCACAGCTATTGTGTTTGCATAGAAATTACAATATTTGTTTTGAACAAAAGGCCCATTGATGGATCTTGATAATGTCTACCAGTGGGTTCTAATTATGTTTTTAACCCTCTCAATGGGAAAAAAAGCAAGCCTGAGCTTTAAAACTGGTTTACCTAATAGAGCTGCCAAACTAGGACAATGTGTATTCAACTATAAGAAATAGGCTTTTCTCTATTTCCTCATTACAATAGCTGAACCTCTGATATGACTGGAATTAAACGCAGACGCCCACGCCTGTGGTGTCTTCTGTTGATGATGCCTGACATCTTTTGGATATTCAGTGGGCAAACTTGATAGTGACATTATTGTTAGATAAACCCCCAGGTTCTTAGTCAGCATAACATGACTGAATGTGACACCAAATGCTGTTGTTGCTGCTCTACAGTTTCACTGTGCTGTTTGTTTTCCCCCCCCCGCAAAAGTGAAAATGGCTTGATCTAAAATTTGAGAGTGCATATGAAGCAAGTGCTTCAACAGCTGCTGGCTCATGCTTATCTGATTTTTTTCTTTTGTTTTTAGGGAGTTTGTGTGGTTTGCTGGAGCCTCTGGACAGTCTGCCAACAATTATATCGCTAATGCCTATGAAAAACAAACAAACAGCCAAATACAGGTTAGCTGAGTACTAAAATCAATAATTACCCTGATAAACTTTATTCGTGCTGAAGGAAAGATATGAGATTAAGCCTGCGACAGGGAAAACCTTGTACCGTGACACAGAAAGGCACAGGCCAAAAACCAGGTCCAGACCAAGAACCATTTAATTGAAATAAAACGCTTTCGCAACATCATACTCCAGTGTTTCACACTCGATTCGAGAAAACGGGACAGCTCCTCAGGTCTTTAAGCTAAAAGCATGACCCAGAAATAAGGTGCCGGATGGAAGTGCGTCCAGATAAAGTGCAGCCCGCACAGGTGACGCTGCTTTGAGGCCGTTTCCTGAACTGTGCACAGCTGCTAGTGCAGCCGCGGGGGATCAGGTGTGAGCAGATGATACAGTTATGGTGTCCCGCTCCAATGAACTCTGCCCGAGCAGCTGGACAGAGAAGCTATTGTAGCCTCGTCCACACAGGTGGCAGCGTAAGTGAGTTTCCCAAAGAGCTGTACTTCTTGTACCGGTGATTGTTACTGTTGTTAAGTATTTCCATATTTTACAGCCTAATGCCTCCTTTCTGCCTCACGTCAAAGGGGAAATTGCTTTCTATGTTCCAGTGTCTTCAAACTAAACTGTACTTTTACCATAGTTTTTCTTTTTTTTTTTAAAGATATTATTTGCTTTAAAGTGACTTGCTCTATTTGTAAATCAGTTTTACAGAAGTTAAGTATCTAAGCACTTGTGAAATGCTCCACCTCACAGTGTCTTTGAAAAAGGTAATTGTGGGATGCCTGCATCTTGCGTCACTTCAGAAAGATTTAAAAAAAAAAAGATTTTTGTCCTTCTCACATGGAAAGAGATTTCCATGATTGCAGACAATTAAACTCCAATGAAGTGGAAGACTGTGTGGTCCTATAGCGGCATGCTTATTGATTCGACCAAGTTCAGGCCACCCACAGCTGAGTAGTTTTTCATGTTTTTGTTAACCTGACAGTGTAGTAACACCACTATTTCCTCTCCAGGTATCTGATGAATGGAAAGAACATGGAGGTGAACAGAAAAGAGGTGCCTTTATATGTAAGTAACTGCATGCGCTTCTCTGACTTCTAAGCTCCTCATGTCGTGACGGTTGGTTGTATCGATCTGTTTGGGGTTTCTTCTCCTCACGAGGAGTCGAGCATTCTGCGACGTTCATCTGTCAGTCCCGACAACCCTTCTTTAGGCTGCTTTACTGGTAAGCCTTGTGCCACGGGTGAAACCCAAACCAGGAGGCTTTCAGTCCCTGGGGTAGCCAGGGCCTTACACAAGCTGTTCACCAAATGACACGGGGCCTCTAAAAGCAAGACTTCCTTTGACTGCGGAGACTGCGGAGGCCGAGAATATTATACCCAATAGGCTTTTTAATGGACTACGTGTGCTTCTTTTTGTGAATTGTCATCTGTGCAAGTGCATTTGGTTTATTGTTTGACATTTCTTTCCAATACTTCCCTTTCCTCTGCAGCTTTATATATTCACCATCTCCATGTTTTTTTCTTTTTCCTTCTCGTAGCTCTATCCTCTTGCATTTGTGTGTGTGTGTGTGTGTGGAAGCCTGGGTGGGCCAGCCACTGAAGCATTGCCAGATTTGAAGAGAGCAGTGTCTGCTTGTTTTGCTGCGTCACCAGTTTCAGAATTGGGGAGAAAAAAGGCGGGGTGGGGGGTGGTAGGGTGTCCCAAAACCTTCCCTCCTGCTCATGTAGGACTGGTCTGAAAACCAGGCATGCAAATCATTAAGGGCTCTGGCAGTTACGCATGCACCTCTCCATCAGGAGGAGGTAGCGTCTCCACCCTCTCGGGTCACAGCTCAACGGGAGCAGCTCCTGCTGTTGAACGAGATCCAGATTTCAATGCCGGGCTTTGTGCAGACAAGCAGCGGCACACCGCTGTGATATAAAGGCTGCTTTTGTGGCACACCTAGTAAAGTTTTATGGCGCACCTCCGCACTATAGAACGGTGTCAGGCCAACAGCAGATACTGTTTGGTAAGATCAATGGATAAATGGATGCATTGAACTGCGGGGTGGAACTTGCTGCAAGTATCGGAGCTTGTGTGCTAACAGAGGTTATTTTGGAGGTCTGGTGCCAGACTTCATGTGAGAGGCACTGTTGGTTAGAAACGGATACCTCTACAAGAAGATTTTGTACTGATGCTAATGCTTTTTTTTAAGTTAAAGCCAAAAGTAGCAAAACCCAGCGATGTTCTGCCGCCATATCTGGTCAAAATGAAAGACATTCAGTGTAATTAATACTGGCTGGAGATGTCAAGTCAGGCATCTTTAGAGGTGTCTTCTTTCTAATTATGGATTGTGTACCCTACTTGTTGTACTCTGACATTTTATTTGCATGGAATTCTCTTTCCTGCTCCCTCCCACCATCCGAAAACATGCATGTTTGGTTAACTGGAGACTCTAAATTGTCCTGAGGAGCGTGTGTGTGCATGGTTGTGTATCTGTTTTGTCGCTGTGTGGCCTGGTGATGGATTGGAGGTCTGTCCTGGGTGAACCCCACCCCTAGCACACTGACAGCTGGGATAGGGTCTACCACCACCCTCCCTCCCCTCCTAGCCCCTACAACAATTTCCCTTCTCTTTTCTTTTTGTCTGCCTGGAAGTGCAGCTCATGTGAGGACTTGTATTTTCAACAGTCCCCCCTCGTAGGTGCAACCTGACAGTGTTCCCCTGATCGTCAGGAGTTGTCATTTAGCATGACTCCAGTGCAATATCGTGCACTTCCCATTCCTTAACAATTGGATATGAACTCTTACCAGAAACCATTTGACCCATCCCACACAATGTTTGCTCCAGTTATTTCCCTTTACTACAATTTGCAATAATACGCATAATTAGTGCTTAACTTGGTTTAGTCCCACGTTTCTCCATCCAAAAGTTGAACTGTCATCAAGAATCATTTATATCTTATAAGCACGATTGTGTCACTGGTCAGCTAAAAAGTGCAGCTCCAGCACTAATTGAAGTCTCACAGATGTAAAACTGGTTGATCGTTTGTGGTTATGGCAATCACAGCGTCCCCATGTAACCTTAAAAGACTTTTTCTCACTCTTAGTGCTGCAGTGTTTGTGCTTGCTGTGCTCACGCCAAACTAACAGAAAACCTCACTACCAGGTGTATATTAATGTGGCAAGAGCCACTTATTATGAAATAATAACAATTTAATTGTCAAACCAACAGATGGGTTCTATAACTACAACAACTGTGTCCATTGCTTAAGACGTAATATATGAGTATGAATATCTAAAGATCTAGGCTCAGAAAGGTTTTCCAGATGGCCTGTAGTTATGAGGATTCTGTTTTCACAGCAGATTAAACCATTGGTATGTGTCAGGGCCGAGTTTTAGTAAAGGCCTGCAGCACATTACTAGCTGTCACCTTAAGGACTTAACTCACTATTTCGGGTCAGGGTTAACGGTCACTGTGGTATTGTGTGGCTTATCTGAAAGCTTTTGGCTTTGACACACTCTTACATAACTTTGTGTTTGACAAAGTATTTGCTTGATGTGTGAACGTTAAAAGGAATTATTAGAGCATGGAGAAGTTCGCAGAACAGACCGGGCATTTGGCCGCTCTCTGCCTTTTGCTACGTTTTTTTCAATCATTTAGGCAAAAGCAAAGTGATTTATGGTTGTTGGAACTTGATTATTTTTGCAGTTTTATGTGATGCTTGTAATAAATCTCACTGTAAAGTCCAAGTTTTTTTTTTAAATCTGGACAAAATGTCATTTTTGTCAAATAGCTGAAATGCCACACTGTGAAGGGCTGACATACAGTTGCCTTCTCACTATAATGGAGTGCTTGTTATTGGAGCTGTTTTTGTTGTTGCAGCAGCAGTGATCTTGCTCCCCTGACGTCACCTACGTGTTGCTCTCAGGAGATCATGGCTCTGGAGTTGATGACTGCTGGTTTCCTGGAGAACAGGCAGCAGATCTGATGCTGTTTTTCCTCTTTTGAAGCAACAGCAATATGTTGAAATAATAAAAACTGCCCTTATTTATCTTTAGATTTATGGTTTGCATAAAAAGGAAAATTGAAAACAATACCCTGTAGTTTTTACTCTGTATTTCTAGAATAGTTTTTCCTTAACTCATATCATGCTGTGATTTCATTTGAAATCAACCTCATGTTTGTATTTTGGGATTAAGTTTTACCTTAAAACTGCCCACATGGGAAGCAAGCCACAAGGTGTTAAATAATTCATTGTCACTGGATCAGGTTGTGTCATGATGACACTGGGGAGAAAAAGGCCATAGATCACAGTATTCGTGCAGCTTATCACCCCCAGCCTTCCTCCCTCATGTTCAACAAGAATCATGAGGTGCGATCCACTTTGAGCAATTCCATCCCGAATTCCATCTCGTCAAATTGTGTCCGTATAAAGTAATGTGATTCTGCTTAGGAGTTTCAGGACTACTCCGTGGAAAGTGTAGTTATTAACAAATTGTAATATAAGAGGGGAAAGTTTACATGTGAATGAACAAAAAAGCTGAGTAAAGCTCCAAAGCCTTAACATGTACTGTATTTTAATATGATTCATTCAGTAAACAACAGCACTTGGTGATAGTAGAAATTATAGTCCTGATATTCAGATGAATGCAAATATGAATGTGTGGAACAAGACCATTAAGATATCACAGATGAAATTCTTCTTGCTTTTTCTGGACAGCTCACAGCATCTGTTTTTAAAAACAACAGGCCAACATTTTATCCTCTCTGCTTCACTGAAAAAACAATCGGCAACGAGATAAAGTGTGTGAAAAATAGCTCCCCACGAAACCTCTTAGCACACACAACAGGCTGAGAACATGCAGCCTGAGTCAGACCTTGTTATCAGTCCAGGCCAACCGCCTGTTTACACAGGAGTTTAGTTTTATTTCTGAACCACCCCTGACTGAGCTTAAGTAACAATTATTCAAACCTCCAAGGGTTCGGGATTAAAAATAGATCAATAAAAAGAGGACTATTGCTAAAATAACTCTTATTCCCACGTAGTTAACGGGAATTCAGCTTTCTCAGCTCAAGAGCTTTGTGCCAGAGTCTTGAATGTTTCGGGATAAATTCAATCTGATGTAGACACTGAAAACACAGTAAAACGTGATTTGGCTGAACATTGAAGATAAGGGTAGATAAAGTTAGTCTCTAAACCTCACAAGATAAAAACTCAAGCTGAGCACAAGAAAACAAAAGATAGGGGTGTTGCACAAGCATGGAACTCGAAGCTAAACCACTTTGTGAAGGTCGTTCACTGGTGGAAAATAACAGGAGGGGAACTGTTGGATTATCTGAAAGTAAAATGATGGTTAATCTTCCAGCTCTTCGTTTTGCAACTGGCTGGTCTGTAGCTGCTTCAGAGGTGATTTGATGTAGAAACATCATAAGGTGGGCTTTATATTAGAGATGCAGGGAAAAAAAGTCTTGCTGGTTTTTATTTCGTTTTTGTTTTGTGTTGGTGAACTCTACGTGAGCCTTTTCACAGCTGATAGTATATGTCGTGCCTCAAGTTTCTGGTGGACACTCATGAAAATATGTGGTCTGATGCAGAGAAAAAAAGGGAAATGAGATGAGTTCTTTTTAAACAGGGAAATGATTTTAATCAAGCAATTCATCTTCCAGAGGCAGGCAGCAGAGAGAAGCTCTCCCGCAGTGAAAAAATAACTGGTGCCTTTCTTTCCTGCCCCATTTTCTTCCTGTTATTCAGAACAGCGGGTGTTATGAGACTGAAGTAAATCAGGTTTTGGGCACAGTTTTACGAGACATTATACCTATTCTTACCTCTTTTTTTTCTCCCCTCTCCTATCAGGGACAAGTAGAGGCTCGTGTAAAATTACAAGCCGAAATTCCAGAAGATGCAGAGTTTTATGTTGTCGTACAAGGCTCTGGACTTATTCATGTGACGGCAGCTCAAAGAGGTGGTGATGGGCTGACCCTTTCCTTCACTGTTCCAGGTAAGACTCTCCCTCACCTAAGCACCACCCAAACTCTCCCACCAAATGCCTGCAACGTTTTGACCCTTTTATTTCTCAGGCCATGACCTGGCAGAGGCAGTCTCTGTGACCCCTTACTGTTACTCAAAGGACCGAGTGAAGCCGTGTGAGGGGGAAACATCTCTTATGTATGTCAGGGATGTTGCCCAGCAAGCAGCAGAGTACTTAAAAGCAAATGGGGACCATCTTGGACCACAGAGCTACCAAGAAGTCCTGAGGAAGTGTCCTGCAGTTTTTAAGGCAGCTGGTGTGGAGCCCAGCTCTGGACCCAGCGAGGTGGAGCCCAAACCAAGTCCAGGCGACGCATCTGACTCAGCGCACCTGGACGAGAAGATCACACAGGCTCTGGCCAACATGGATTACCCTCTGCAGTGGAAAAACACAGACGTTCAGCTGGGAGAAGGTAATGAAACAGGAAGTGGGGGTATAAATCAAGCTGAGGTCACGGGGTTTGTGGATACTTCAGTAGAGGAGCTGCTCGTCCGTCACTGATGTTTTCTGACGCCTCTGAAGTCCAAATGGCTTTGCGTACAGTCGTGTGTAGAACATTTGAGACTCATATGAAGGAGGATGGTGTCAGTGCAGATTCATTTTAGTTTTTAAAAAGATTCAAGGATGTTTAGACTTGCATCTAGAAGGTATTGGCTGGCCTCTTGCCCCGGTTCTGCTGCATCCCCAATCATCAATGTATCTGAAAAGAAGTATTGTAAGGGCAAAATAAATGTATTTGTTTTTTATGTAGGTAGATCTAACACATAATTCAGTGAGAAGCAGAAAGGCTATTCCTACAATTATGTTACCACTGAGTCTTCTTTTTTATGCCATAGATGCAGTTAAAAAAAGAAAAGAAAAAGCCTTTATTCTGAACTAAGATACCAAGTTAATGTGAGTTACCTTTCAGAGTAACAGATAAATTCAATGACTGAAGGAACTGACAGGCAGAATAAAATGTCATACTGGTTTATTTAATTGCTGTGGTTCTCTGGTGTTTATTGGTTTTAAACCTGATCTGTACCTTGAATGTACAGCCTCGCTCTTTCATCATATGATGCTCAGGACCAGCCGGCCAGTCAACCAGGAAGAGGCCAAAGGGCTTTAAAAAAAAGAGCAATTACTACCATTATTCCTCTTTGGTCGGATTAGACTTATTTACAGGCCTTTATGTCTGCTAAATCTGCTTTGACAGTTCTCTTCTGTAACACATGCCTGACAAACCTGTTCCTAAAAAACCTGGTAGCAGATTGTTTGCTTGAAAAATAAAACCGAAATGTATTCAATTCTGCTTTAAGAGTCAAATTACACATAAGGCCTTTGTTCCCAGATAAAGGGAGGATATAGAGATAGAGCATTTAGTGACAGAATTAAAAAGTGGGCAGGCCACAGGCTGTTTAGATGTGAAAAAGTGGCTAAGACAATGATTTGGTTGGAGCAGTGATACAGAAATTTAGGTTTGAGGTAACACATTCATATGAATCGCTGGAGACTACAAACATCAGTGTGTCCATGCAAAACGTCCATGCAAAACATGGGCAAGGTGCAAATACAACACAGATGCTGGCCTCTATTGTCACTCCTCCCTACAGTGTTTGACACTGACTCTCCTTTTTGTCGGCCTTTGCATGGAGTGTATGTGTTGTGTTTGCTACCCTCAGTTCTTCCGAACTGGGTCACAGTAAATGGTACCATTGCTGAGCTGACATGGCATTTTTCTTCATTTTTAGAAAACAGGGCTATGTCTGTTATTTATCTGACAATGTATCTGGATTTGAGGGATAGGGCCAAAAGTTTGGAAAACCACTTTCCCTTTTACAACCAACTCGACCAAGACATAAGTAGAAGATCTTTGTGAGGCTAATATGAGCAGAAACAGGCTCCCCTCTGTCAAAAGAGTGGATGTTGAGGCATTACAAAGTTGAACAGATCAAATGCATAATATTTATACTCCATCATACTTCAGTGAGCAAGATTCAAAAGGCAGGTGTGTGTTCTGTGAAATATCCAGTTTTTCTAGGTAGTAATACTGCTGCTATACTGTGAACCCTACATAACTCATAACATCATTCCCCATCCCACAGGTGAAAGGTTTCTGACCTCACCCAATCAGGATGGAGAGAGCCCACTCCAGCTAGCCCAGAGGGATGGAGGCCATGACATGTTCAGGGTGTTGGCAACGTAAGGCTATGTTGACGTCTCACTGATAATCCTTTAGCATGACACAAAATACATTGTAACCCATTACACTGATGCTAATCCTAAATGAATCTGAGGAACCTGCTTTGCTTCTAATATGTTATTATTTGTGAGGGGAAGCCCTATTCCTTTCTCTATAGAGTAAGAGCAACAAGTCTCAGTGATGCAAAAGTCTTCCAAATTAAACCTTTTCGGTGCAATGACTTAAACAATTTCTCACAAGAGATACTATTATTTTCTTTTGTTAGTGTAAAATATTTACACCTCAAACCCGATTGATCAACTTTCAGCAAGAGAAAGGACAAGACTACTGAGATAAATCAATCCTTAGGCTGTAAACAAGCTGCCGAAGTTCACCGCTGCATGGAGAACAGAAGAAAGTATCTTTCTTTTGAATTAAAGCGCTTATTCCCACCAGGGGTACATTGTCTCCAGGAGGTGGGGGAGTACCCCCTGGAGAATTTATTTTCTTCTTTTCTTACCCCCTAGTTGCTTTTGGAATAAGCTCATCTCTGAAAAAACAGTCATTACATTTTAATTAGAGAGCTGAGCGGTCCTGAGCAGGTTTGCACTGAGAAAATGTGAATAGATGCGGCCAATATTATTCCATGTAGTGATATAAGAAATACTGCTAAACTTCTAATATGGAGTGTGGAGTGTTTTTAATACCCTCTTGTTTAAACAATGTAAAAGGTCAAATTAAACCTTGTAGTCTTCAGTCAGTGTGGGCTAATCACTGAATTTCTCTTTCTGTTCATCAGTCGCTCAGAGCCTGAAACTGGACCTCCTTCGGGTGTTCAGTGCTTGTGGTCCGATAACTCCTGCATGTTAAGGTTTTGTCCAAGGACAAATTCTGTCTTCCTCACTGTGCCGCACCCCCAGGACACCCATGAAGTCTCTCAAGAAAAACTAAAAGAGCACAGCGTCCAAAAACTGGTGAGATGAAATGGCAGAGGACACTTTTGCTGCATTGATCAAACATGATGCTGAATGTTTGAATGATATGTCTCTCACATCACTCTGCATGGTGTTGTTTGTCATTTTTGGTTGTAAAAATCTAAACAGTAAGCACTGAACTCTCATACTTTATTCATAATTTTAATCAGTTTTCAGTATGACATTATCGGCATTGTCCATAAACATAATAAATTCTGTTTTTATATTCAAGATCCGTGTGCTCAGAGCTCATAAGGAAGACAAGAGGGAGAGAGATGATAATCACTTGAAGAATGAAGGTAAGTTTTTTTTTTCAGGGGGATTCAGGGTTATTTAATATATGCTGATGTCAGATATTTTTTATTTGAGACTTTTCTTCATCTGAAAATAAGGATTTATCAACATTCGTGATTAAAACCAGATGCCTCTGACAGAGACACGTGCATCATTGTTTTTTGTCCCTCCTCGGCCACCTTAACACATGAACGTTCTAGCTGTGTAACTCGATCAGTGAAAAACGTCTTTCAATTATCAGGCAGTTTGTCAATGTCACGTTTCCGTGGGTGAGGGGTAACAGTGACTTTAGAGTACTTGGTTTTCTCATAATAACCAGTTTTAAAGGCTTTTGATAGCCTGAGTTTCTATAAACTCAGAGACCAAATGACTGTTTGATTTACCACGCTTAATGGAAGGATTATGCAGTACTGCCAATAATTATTAGCACAATTCTTTGTATTGCTATCAAACTGTTCTCGTGTGCACAAACGGCTCAAATGAGTCTGTGTGTGGTGGTATTTGAGTGCAAAGACTTGACTGCGGAGCGGTGGAAAAAGAAAAACCACAGATTCACTTGTGCAAACAGTGGTATAGTCAGACATCCATCACTTACAATCTAAAGTGACTAGAAAAATACTTTTAACAAACACCATAAAAGGACCTGTCCTCTACTCGTTTATTTGCTCTTCCTCTGAGTGAACAAAGAAAAAAGGAGCCGTTTGTTTCTTTTTTCCTTCAAGGGCGACACATGTTCAGACTGGCATGCAGCCACACACAGAGGAGCTTTTTTTTTAGATTTTCACTTCTGTAACCATTAAACTATTTAAGTTTTTATCATTTTCTTGCTCACAAACACGATTTATATCTCTTACTCAACCTGAGGCCAGACGTTTTGGTAACCATAGAGATAACTGATGGGGCTATCGACTCATAAACGGAGGCAGGAAGTGTACCTTGGTATTGACCTTAACCCTGTCCCGGCTTCAGCAGCCATCCATTAATCCTCTCAAAATAACAGTCTCCCAGTAGGGAGGGTGTGCTGTTTCTCTGAAACTGCTGGTTTGGAAGAGCACATCTCATTGGTTAGTTTTCATTTGCACACTGGGTCGCATTCAGAGAGCCTGATGATGTGCCATCCCCAGAACTCTTTATATATTTTTATCAGTTCATTCTTTTCTTGTTTTTTTTCTTGTTTTTTTTGTTACGTGAAACATGTTAGTCTTTCATAAAATCTTTCATCTTTGTTTTTTTCTTCTTTCATACAGTCTTCAGTAAGAACCTTCATGAGGAGGAACTTGTTCTGGGAGACAATGTGAGTGTACATGTAAAGATAATCATATGTAGCACGGAGACTTTTAGGTGTTGTAAATATTTTTCATTTCACTGTCAGAGGTAAAAAAAACTTATTTTCACTGTTTTCTGTGCAGGTTTTCGAGGAGCAGTTTGTTTTGTCAATGGATAAGGACAATAATGAAGAGCAGAACCCATTGCCATCACCTGGTAATTCCCGTGTCCTTTCTCGTATGCTCTTGTTTATTTTAGTCTTTCAGTCCCGAACATCTCTTTTCAATTTCTTATTGTGGCACATAATATTCTGTCTTCAGGCTCTAATGATTGATGGTTAATCCATGAAAAAACAAAAACTTAATTGTGGCTGCAGTGAGCAGCAGGGGGTGGAAACAGCCGATAATGGAGCCGTGAGGCCCCGACTGGAGCAGTTTCTCTTGTGATGCTGCGACAATATGCAAACCTCTGTTTTGAATCACATTATTGGGAATCAATACAGGTTGTGTTTTAAACATAGACAAGAGGACACTTATGTCTGAGATACAGGGCCTGTTTTCTTTCATCAAATGGACTTATTTTCTTCCTATAGTCCGTCTTTAGACACTGCTGGCTGGTTTTTAAAGTTTTTAACCCGCTTTGCCTCCACAATGACTCAGTCTTGGAGTCCAGGAATCTGCCCTGTCACTGGGACAAAGACAGAAATGGGGTCAGGCTTGTCCCACTCAGACTTTGTCTGAGCTAGGAGATGCCCCCCTCTGGCTTGTCACTCTGCCATCCCCTCCCCCCAGTTTCCCTGGTTTAGACAGTAGGGCTGTGTACTTGAAGCAGCAGGAATGTTAAAAGGCTAAATGTCCTATGCTTACAAAAGCTGACATTTTACACAAAAGACATGCATTAACCTTGACTTCTTTGCACACGAAAATGTAAGATTGTAAGGTAGCTTGCACACAGCCTCACTGGCTTGTTAAAACTTTGATGGTGTTCAGATGTTTAAGTGTTACCACGGTTACTGTAAATGCTAATATCCTGTGTGTTGCCCTGGAGAAATGAAGAGTTTGTTGTAAACTTCAAGAGTGGCTCTGATGGTACTTCATGGACCTTGCGATTGTGTATCCATAAACTGAAGTGTTTGTGACAGTGTGAATGATGATGGATTGGGTGGGTGAAGTAGTGCTAAAAACATGGCCGATTTCTTCTCAGTTGTTATTGTGTTTACCGTTGGGCTGGCCGTTTTCTATGTGCCATGGCCTCACTGGGAGGCAGCTGTGGTCCAAAATTGTCAGTCAGAACTATTGTTTTTTCCAGAGCTGCTAAAATGATCATCTTTTTTTTCTCTGCTTTACACCAACATAGCTCCACATGTGTCAGTTTTTGTTGGAACAGCTTGGTGTGACGTTCAGTCTACCAGAGGAGACTGCTGTGGTGTCAGTCTAGCACCATTGTTTGGATTTATTACAGCTTAGATTTCTATGTCTTTGCATAAGGCTTGATTCAAATCCCAAGAGCAAGCTGATAGTGATTCAGTGTGTATACATATGTATATATCTCTATATAAAGGCCATGAATGAATGTGAGATGTCTGCCTTCTATGATTGAGCTCTTATGTCCTCTCTGTGTGAGAGCAGCAAAGAGGAAATACCTCTGAGATGCCCAGGATTTCCCTTACATTAGTACAGGCATGGCTGGTCCAGACATCAAAGCCTGGGTGGAAACTTCACTCATCAGGGGAGGCAATTTTCCACATTGTTATAGTAGATATACCATCTACCACTCCCGTAGATATGCAGCAAAACCACCAGCAATTATGTGCAAAAAGCATACTCTCCTACTTTGTTCAAGCACTGTGCTAGAGTTTCTTTCTATCTGAATACAGTGAGTTGCTGATTTTGTTTCTCCTAATTTTGCATTATATCTACTTACTCAGAAGATTCAGATTTTACATGGAAGGTTTTTAGTAGTCTTTATCGTGGCTGCAACCAGCAATTCTAAATTTAAAAATCCCAGCACTGAGTCAGATTAAGACTTTATATTGAATTAATCTTGACATTATGAATCTGACAGAATTTAACAACCCTTTGAACTGATCCATTTAATCAGAAAAAGGAGGGTTAAACTTCTAAAACTTGCAGGACAATGGCCCCACCTCTGTATTACTCTGGTAAAATGCTTCTAGTGATAAAGTTAAAGCCTTTTAAACGTGTTTATGTTCTTAAGTTGCAATAATCTTTACTTGATTTATTTTGTTTTTGGAGAAAGCGGATAATGTCAAAAGCATGTCTGCCATTTTGGGAATTAGAGGAAAACACACCCACTTAATAAAAGAAGTCTGGTTTGGTTGGCACTTGTTCTTGCAAAAAGTCTGCGTAGAACAACTGGGACGTCTGACCTCACCTATCTGGGGATTAGAACGGTGCTTTCTGTGTTCAAAGCCAATTCCTCAACCATACTGTTGATGGCTGATGTTGTCTTTTATATGTTTGGTATACATAAAAAAACTCAATTTGTTTATGAAGGCAACATGTAAAAAAGATATTTCTTGCTGAGGGAATGGTTGTCTTTTGTTTTTTTATATCAAAACGTGCACATAAGCATTAAGCAGATGAAACACAACAAAAAAGGTATGAGTCAAGTCAATAATCCACCTTTTTGTAGAAAACAGACAGCCTGCTGGTTAGGATGATATGTTTAGGTTTCCATGAAAACAATCCTTTAAAGGTCAAACAGGAGTAGGTATGCAGCAGCTCATCACATTTTCCTTTCTTCTCTAAGCTTTGACATTTGTGCAAAGAAAGATGAATGCATAGTGGTTTAAAAAAAACAACCAAAATACCAGAACGTAGCAGGAGAGAAAGCAGAAGGGGAGAAGAAATAATACTTAACAGGACAATATTATGACATAAATGATCATCTATTTTCTGTGTTTGGCATGCGATTGTGACGTTTTTTTCTCTGTTTCTCTGCACATGTTATGAAATCTGCCGTCTGCACAAGTTGTCTGATTATTTTAAGCTCATCTAAAGGCCGCTCTCTTTCTTTAAAACCAGATGTTAAGATGTCTGGCTTGATCTTGGGATGACTTATGGTAATCAAAAGTGACTTTTTTGCCAGGCCCTGGCCTTAAATCACGGAGCAATATCAAAACACGAGTGTCAAATAGTTGATACTCACGAAAAGAACGAAGAGACGAGGAAGAGAAGTGGTGCATGTGATTTATTAAGAGCTTTTTGTTTACAGCAAATTGGCATCCCATGCAGTCCGGTGAAGCTCAGGACCAGCTCACCCACCATGCTACAGCGTCTTTGCCCTGTACGATCACCAGCAGCAGTCCGATCCTCGTACATCAGGATGAGGTTACGCAACATCCTCACTTCCAAGCCTGGACATGTCATTCTTTTTCTTTTTCTTCTAATATGGATTGCCTCTCTTTCCTCAGCTTCAGGGAAGCGGTGTTGACATTAAGCACAGGGTTAGTGGTGCGACCAGGACCAGCACAGGCACAGATGGCAGTTTGTGGGACACGGAGGATCTCCTTGCCACCGACACCCCTCCACCCTATTCAGAAGATGTCTACCCTGGCTCTGTTTCCTGCTCTCCTCTACTGTCACCTGTGGACCAGGCCCTCACCCGGCTGAACCGTCCCCAGTCATCCGAACAGAGCAGTCAGAGAGACAGTCCGCCAATGGAAACCTACGACCTCAGGTATTACTTTTAAACAAATTATTAATTTGACGTGGCCTGCTTCCTAATGCGCCTGTAAATAAATAACGGCTGATTTGTTATTCCAGTCCCAGTCTGGTGGCTCTGGAAGTGGACAGTGAGGATGAGAGCACTGAGCCGAAGTATCCTCTTTCCCTGCTGCCATCAGATTTTGGGAAGGATGAAGACAAAGGCGAAAGCTTTTGTCCGACCCCTGAACTGGCGTGCACTCGCAGCTTGTCAGCCTCAGCCTGTGTACCCCTTTTGAAAGTAATTATCCCACGTCCGTTACATATCCTCCATGTTTACTAATGAGAAACCGTTTGATTTGATACAGTATTTTTTCTGTTTTCTTTGTTTTGTTTGGGTAGGAATTGGGTGAGGAGGGGGTTAGATTGCGCTCCTACTCCTACTCAGCCCCCAAAATCAGTTTTCTTCCTGCTCGTTTCGCCCGGGACAACAACTCCTCGGACATCGGCAATGGTCAGTGACCCTCAGACCGCTTCCCATCATTAGTTCGACAATCTAACTCATAACTAACATTTTCCACCTAAAATTTCACTAGTTTTATTTCTAACTAATGTTGGGATATTATATGCTGTGTTGATTTTAAGGTAGTTTCTAACCGTAGTTATGCTGTTATATATATTCAGAATATATTTCTTTATATCCTACCTTCTCAGGGTCTGTGGTGATGTGTCATTTAAATCCTGACATCACAAACATTTTTCGTGAAATTCTTATAAAACAATTGGCAGACCAAGGAAGCAAACATCAAAACCATTTGTCAAAAAGTATACCATTGCTTCAACAGTTTCTAAATCACAAATAGCCAATAGAAGCACATCATATGGCCGTTTAACACTGTACATGGTGGTAGTTTCCAAACTCTGTAGTGGATGTGTGAGCAGCCGTGTGTCCACTGTGCCCTGTAGATGCCGCGCTCCACAGTGTCAGCCACAGCCGATCTCTTCTTCAGGCCCTTTCTCTGTCTAAATCCACCCTGTCTCTGTCTCTGCTCCACCCTGGTAGTAAGTACTGGTCACATGCCACCATCGCACCTCAACCTACCGGCTTTGTTGTTAGGGCTTGTGCACGTTGGGGAGAGTCAAGGTTATTACTGTAAACTGATTCAGCACTTGAAAATGAAAGTTGATGAAGATTGGAAAACAACATTTCCCATTTTGCAATCCTGTGTTATATCAAAACTGTTATTTATAGACGGTGAATCAGGCAACTTTGTTTTTCCCCTTTTATAAGTGAACTTATTACTAGCTCATAATAGGCACATAAATCAGCAACCAGCCGGTGATGATAGGCAAAATTTAACTTGGCAGATATTTACTTCAGAGCATTTACAGATGTTTTGTCCTCTTTAATTTGTACATGTGTTGCTTCTGACTCATCATATTGTGGAATGACTGGAACCTTGTTGCCAAAATAATCACTTATTCCTGAATGTGAAAAGCAATGCTTTAACAAGCTCATAGGCACTCTCTGTCCACGACCTCACTGTAAAAAAAGGAACTCTATGACACTTAAACAATTGGAAAGTCCAAAGCTTTGAAAATGAAACCAGAATTACAAAGAAGTGCAAAGGAAACAGAAATAACGCTTTAGAATCAAGGACAACTGCTGAATCACCAAACTCTAATAACCTTGACAAGTGTTTATGTCTATGTGTGAATGGCTTCTTTCATCTGAACAGAATTGGGAGTTCAAGAAGACAAAATGAAAAATTACTAATCACTTTGCAGCCTGGTGAGATATATCTGCAGCCTTTGAGGGGTTTGTCAGTGCTTTTGCTTTCATTTGTATTTTCATGTTATGGTAAAGTTCAATTGCTCAACCTTATTGCTTTGCTTTTTATAAATGATTTAGTTAAGAATTAAGAATCAAGAGTCCCTATTTGTCTCCCTTTCTGTCTCTCGTTTCTCTGCTTCATGTATACAACTCCGTTGGAGAGGGTTTTCGTTTATTTATTCATTCTTTTATTGTTGTATATTCATGCCCATTTACTTCAACCACTTATTCTTTATGTCCACAGAGCAAAGAGCAGCAAGTATATCAGATCAGTCTCATGAAAAAAGGTATTTACCCTTTGTATTCAATTCAGTCTGGTCTGCTTAGGATCACATGATGTTCCAGATGTTCTTTTTCTATTTTTTGTTCTTTTCCTAAATCAAACTCAAATAAGGATTCCTCACTGGTGAGAATACTGTAAATGTGTAGCCATGACAACCAGGTTGCATGGCGACTGCGGGCGCTCTATGAAGTTTGCAGCTGCTTTTTATGAGCCTCTTTAGTCCATGGGATGAATGTGTGTTACAGTTTTTTTGATCCTTGCTTTCTTTTTAAAGGACAATAGAGCTGATGACGTACAGATAGCAGTGTGACTGTGGTTCTCCTCCAGCCTGTTTTTCATACAGAGGCTTTACCTGTATTATTCTGTGCCTTATTCTTGTGTTATATCACTTCCAATGGAAATCTAAACTTAGCACAATCTAGGTCACATTTGAATCTAATCAAAGTGTAACTGGGTCCGTTAGAGTTACATTTAAAGTTGAGAATGGAATAAAGAAGGTGGTTAAAACTGAAAACATGTGTTGCGCTCAAACAAGGGTATTGGCTCCAGTTTCTGCTTAACTCACCTGTTACTCTGGTTTTAATACACATGATCCCAAAGCATTTTAACCTCCATGATTCAGATGCCATGTCTTCCTCCTTGACTGGAATGTCAAGCATTACTTCTTGTATCCTAGCTAAGCACATGGAACTTTTAAAGCTCACAACTGAACTGTGATCTCCTTTATCTTTGCAACGTCTCGAAATTTCATGAAATAAAGCTAATTTAGTTTCAGTGTATCTATGTTTACACGCTGTCTTTTACAGGGAGGTTAGGTTCCGTAAACGTGCCCAGTCTGCTGATGACGAAGGCAGCATGGAGCTGGCAGAGTCCCTCCAGCATCTCACCCTATCTGAATTTCTCAAAGAGTATGTAGGACGGGGGTGTTGACCTCCATCGGCCACTTGAAGCTTCCTCTAACTGTCCAGCGCACATGAACTAACCCCAGACAAAAGCCTTAGCATGTCTCCGCCTGACGTCCATCACCTGTCCCCCAGCAGCCTAACAATAAAAGTTGTTGATGTCTCTGATAGGCAGCAGCAGTCAGTTTGCATGTTTTTAACCTTTAACAATTCTACTAAAACTGATTTGCTTTCACAGTACCTGGCTGCAGAGAAAGAACACTTTTTAAAATCTTTTAAAATGATTTTTTAACATGTTTTAGTGCCTGATTTTATTTGCTTTTTTCCTATTTTTTTCTTTTTTAATGTTTCATTCTTTTAACAAAAATGCCATGCAATATCATTTTTTTTTAACAAACCGGGGCACCTTGAAATAATAATACAATCCTTTCATTCATAAGTTATTTGGTAATGCACAGAATCAGAATACACAGCTGCAAATTTTCTTCTTTTATGGACTCATTGCCTGCAACTCCATAAGGAATCCATGCTTGGTGTTGCTGTCTTCCTGACTCGGCAGTAAAAAAGATATTAGGATGTTGTGATAAATTCATGTCTGGAAACTAACAATCATCCCTAAAAATAAGACGTTTTTTTTTTTTTTATTTCTTGTAGAATTGAAGAAGAGGAGTTGGATAAGTACCATATTCCGAGCAAGACGGAGTCGGAGAAGTATAAAGTAATCCGTACCTTCAGTTTTCTCAAGAACAGGATGTCAAGTACACGTAACAAAAGCAAGGTAATGCCAAACGGCGAACATAACGCCTTCAAGCTGTTACTAACTAATGAGGTCAAAAGTATACATTCAATGTTACATTTAGAGCATGTCAGAACTTATTGTTTTGGGTATTAAATTCATCCTGCAAGTTTACAAGCTGTTTTATGTGAGATATTCATTCATATAAGGCTGTGTCTTGGTATAGACCATCCGTTGGAAGGTTAGCATTCCCACCATAAGTCTTGGGTATGAAATGCATGGTCATCTTTCTGCATTCTGGGAGACATAATCAGGAAGCGTTTCTGGAAATAACTCGAGGTCAGGGTGACAGACCAAACATGTTTTCAGCCGCTTTCCTTTTAATGATTAGTCCCTCATGTTGAGTCAGCACAGAGACTGGAAACTCTCCCCTGCATCTGTTGTTTACGCTATGATCCATTTCCGTGTCGGCGGACTTTTTCATGGTTTGGAAAAAGGCGGGGAATCCTTTCAGCCTCATTTATCTATGTGGATGCTTTAGAGTTCGATCTGCAAATAGAAACGTAGATCTTTTCAGAAACTTGAGCTTATAGTTTATAGGAGTCTGCCACAAAACTTTCTATTTATCCATGGCCTCTTTCTTGACACTGACAACTCTGGCATGGTTTTCAAAGGGAAAAGGGAAGGACAGAGAGGCCAAGGATCGGCAGCTTAATGGACACCGCTTTGCGACAGGCTCCTGTTTGGGCCCCACATTGTGCGTGGTGTGTGACAAACCAGCTTCTGGAAAGGACCTTCTGCATTGCTCAGGCAAGTAACAGCTAAAATGATCCTCATCTTTTCAAGAAATTTAAGTAGCCGAATTGGTCAAAAATATTTGTTGTCCCTCAGGTTGCACTGCCATCGTCCACAAGGGCTGTAAGGACTCTGTCCCCCCTTGTTTAAAGGTTAGTTTTGTCCTGAAATAAATAATTCTACTCATCTCTACTGGAGCCTGTCCTTCTGCCCGTTGTGTCCAAACTCTCATCATAATCATTTGTATTTCTTAGAAACTTCAGGATAAATATTCCATTTCCATAGTGAAGAACAGGACATCATCCCTCCCACAGAGTGAGTTTGTTAGCACTCTGGTTAATGTTCTAGTAACTTTGTAATGAACCTCCTGAGTCCCTGCATTCTAATGAGGACATTGCATTTTTGCTTCTCTGAAACATAATTCTTTTTTCAACTTTTACATCTTGGCCTTAATGTAGACGTTATCAGACATTAATGTTTGAAATATAAAATGGTATTATACATTTTTAACCAATCACGTCCTTATTGTGTAATCAAAATGTTGTAAATGCGTACTTTGCACTGTCAAAACCAAATTCCATAGAAAGCTTTTAAATACATAAATATACATCTAAAATACAAAAGATAAACCCACTGTCCCTATATGAAGAAAAACTACCTGCACTCATGACAAAGTCAAAGTCATTTAACACATTGACACATTAACACTTACCCCATAGATCTCGAAAAAGAAAAAAAAGGCACACCAAATAAAACTCGGGCCTCAGGAAGTAAACCATGAAATGTAGGAATGAGTGTTTTGAACTCGAACTTTACACAAATGCTGATATACTCCTGATGTTTTCCCCTCAGACTTCACAGTGAGAGATGTTCCTCCTCAGTCCTCTGCACTTCCCATATCAACATCTCTACCAGTAATGACCCCAAAGGAAAGAAAGGACACAGTGACACAATCTTCTTCACTGTCTGGAAGTTTCCCCAGCAGTGACAGGTCATTAAACATTCACAGTGTCCCGTTTACACGATGCAGTGTAAATTATCATTCAAGAATTAATGGTCTTTCTTCTCCTCCATGATACAGTCAGCTCAGTGAGGGTTCCGAGACTGAATCTAATGTCCTGAAGCTGGGCAGTCAGTCAGAGGAGCTCCTGCCAACTCCTGTATCCTCCACCTCCAATAACTCATCTGTTGGAGAGGGTATGGAATGAATAAGACTTGTTTGAATTTTAAAAAGGTGGCATTTTGTATAGCAAATTAAAATTAAATATCCAAATTGAAAACAATCCCAATAGAATGCTCAAGTAATTTCTGTCAAGTTATTTTTAAACAAATTTGATATAATTTCTTCTTGTTCACTTCCTTTTTAAAACATTTGTGAATACGAGTAACTTTACTGGTTAAACATGTTTCTGAATATTCTTTTTAATATTTAATATTCCAGAAATATCTAATCAAATTGATGAGAGTAGAGAGCCCTCACTCTTTTTTTTTTATATTCGGCACATACAATTATACTTACAATTACAAGAGTCCCATCATAGCTCTTATAATGTGTTTTTTTCCTGCCCCAAAAGACGGTGTGGACTCATATACCCAAAGTCTCAGTGACATCTCAGCTGATTCTGTGGATTACGAGGCAGAGTCATGGAGTCTTTCAGTTGAGCACAAGTTCTGCAAGAAGCATGAAAAACGAGCTGTCAAGAGGCAAGATGTGATCTATGGTAAGCAGATGTCAAAAGAATGTGTCTTTTCTGCATATGCTCACAAATTTGGTTGCTATAGCCACATCTAATTGTTCTAAAATTGCCATGATTGAGTAATAGCTTTTTTGGCACGGACTTTGTTTGTGAGATGTTGAAACATTGAACCTCTGATACAGAACTGATGCAGACAGAGCTCCACCACCTTCAGACCCTGCACATCATGGGGGAGGTTTTCCGACGGGGCATGAGGGACGAAGTGCAGCTGGACGCTGAAACGGTGCAGCGGGTCTTCCCCTGTCTGGACCAGCTGTCGCTTTTCCACCACGCCTTCTTTGCAGCTATGAAAGAGCGACGGAACAACTCCGCTCAGCCGCAAGGACACAGGAACTACCTCATACAGCGGATCGGTGACATCTTGGTCCAACAGGTTAACTGGGCTTCTGTTGGTACCCTTTTTTAAATACAGTTCAGTTTGTGGATTTTCTTGTAGTAACAGGATTATCTGCAGTTTTCAGATGAGAATGGAGACAAGATGAAGCAGGTGTATGGAGAGTTCTGCAGCCATCACAATGAAGCAGTCGGCTTTTTCAAAGAGCTTCTGCAGCACAACAAGAGATTTCAAACTTTCATTAAGGTATTACAATTTTTACAAGAAATAAGAGAAAAAATATTAAATATAAATGCAAATAAAGGCTTTGCATGAGCTCAAATAATTCTTGATCTTATATCTGAAAAGCAACAAGGGAATAACTATTTAGTGCGACGGAGGGAAATTCCAGAGTGCATCTTGCTGGTAACCCAAAGGATTACAAAGTACCCGGTGCTGCTGGAGAGGATCCTGGAGTACACTCAAGGTTGGTGATCTGCTGCCCTCTGCTGTCTATTTGACTGCACGGAAATTTAATTTGCCTGAAAAAACAAAAACAAAACAAAACAGATACACTCCATTGAAAATAAACAAATAGAAGACATGATCCTTCTCTCAGTGTTTTCTTCTATGGCCCACAGAGGGGACGGAGGAGCATGCTGACCTTTCCAAAGCTCTGGTTCAGATTAAAGACGTGATAGCGGCCGTGGACCAGAAGGTCAGTGAATACGAACGTCAACAGAGGCTACAGGAAGTGTGGAACCGCATGGAGAACCGAACGGCGGCCAAGCTGAAGAACGGACGCACTTTCCGCAAGCAGGACATGATGGGGCCCGGACAAATGCTCAAACACCAGGGCCTGCTGCTGTGGAAGACTGCCACCGGTCGGCTCAAGGGTGAGAGAGTCCCACACTTTAGTGCCTCACAGTGCTTCCATTTGTATGGAAACTAATGGTCAGGCGGGTGATTTATTTGCTCCTCTGCGTGTCGTGATTTCTGCAGATGTCCTGGCACTCCTTCTCACAGACACCCTCATCCTCCTGCAAGAAAAAGATCAGAAGTACACATTCGCTGTTGTGGTGGGCATTCAAAGCTGAATCGTACAAATACACTATTTCATAATAGTGGGATTCTTGACTTATCAGTGTTTCACGTCTTTTTTGTTTCTCTTTAAATGCACTTTAGGACCAGAAGCCACCGGTCATCGCACTGCAGAAATTAATAGTGCGAGAGGTTGCCAACGAAGAGAGAGGGATGTTTCTGATCAGTGCCTCATCTGCCGGCCCAGAAATGTACGAGGTTCACACGTCATCCAAAGAGGAACGGAACACCTGGATGAGGCTTATCAGGGAGGCTGTGGAAAGGTTTGTGTTTATGTGTTAACTGAAGAAAGAGGCGATTACATTAACATGTAGACCTTATCGTTTGCTAAAATTGCTCGACCCCTCATTCTGCTTCTGCTCAGCTGTCCGGAGGACGAAGAGGAGCACATGAGCGAATCCGAGGAGGAGAAGCGAGCCTCTGAAGCCCGTTTCCAAAAGATCCAGAAGTTACAAGGTATTACAAAACGTACAATAACATGGATTGTTTAAAAATGTTCTTTGTCTGTATATGATCTTTTTACTCACATTCGTTATCCTCGAGCATAAGGTCTAAAAACCCTGGAACTGTTTAAACTTGTGTATCAGAGAGTTTGATGAGCCAGGACCAGCATATTTGCTCTAGTCTGGAGGAGAAGCTTCAGATCTATGCAGATCTCTCTGCTCTGAGTGGGAGGACGGGCGTTTCGGGAGATGAACCGCGGTTGCTGATCCAGGTGCAGTCTGAGGAGCTGCCATTGGCTTCTGGGCTGCTGACTGCAGCTCTGAAAGAGGGTAAAATAATATACACACACAACAGCAGACACAGGAAAATGATTTTGTCCTTTTTTATTTTATTTTTTTTACAAAACAGTATTAAGTTGCAACGAAAAGAGAATGTGTGGGTATGCTTTATCCTGATTTGTGTGTCACCATTGCAGCAGGAGACAAACGGATGCACATGCTTAGCTGCATTTCTCTGTTTCTGCTTTGCAGCTGAGAACCTGAAAGAGACACTGTCCAAGGCCCGATCTCCTTCAAGTTACAGCCAAGACTCCGACCAGGACTCTGTGTTTGCCGCCAGCCCTGCTACTCTCACTGAGCCCAGCTCAGACTTTTCTGAGGCCTCCCCTGAAACCCCTGAGACCAGTGAGGATGGCTGGGTTGAGGACTTTGTGCCTCAGACCCCAGCAGACCCACAAAAAGATGACACTGACTTTAAGGTAACTATCTGAGTTTCTTTGGCTTCATAAGACACCATTTTTTAGACATATCCATAAGTGAGAACTGTGACTGCTGCTATAACTGTGGGGGTAATTAAAAATTGCTGAGGAATGAAGCAGTAGATCATGTTAGTCTCTTGTAGGTAGCATCTGAATGTCACCTCTTTCCATCTCCTGTAAGGTATATGGTTTCAGATTGCCAACTGTTGTTTTAATTATTCAACACAGTCTGTTAGAACTACATTTCAGTCTTAGTGTCATGAATCATTGATAAGCTCATAATAGAGGGAAGTCCATTAAGTTCCCAAAGGTAATGCAACATTCAAATCTGATATGGAAACATATTCCAATTACCTTGCCACTTTTATGCTGCCCTCTGCGGCTTTTTGTGGTATGTGAGGTCAATTACCCCAAGGAGGGAGAATGATAATCTTATAAACTTCCTTCAGGTAAAGGGGCGAAAAACAATGGTTAAGGTATTGATGGAGCCTCAAGGGGGCGCAAAAGATGCACAAATGTAAAGTTTTCCAGCTTTCATCAAGAATCAGAATGGATTTATTTAGCTAAATTGATACCCTTGCTCCAAATGATGAGAGAAAAACATGGTGAAAAGGGACTTGAATTTGTGTTTATTTTGTCTGTTGACAGGTTTCTCAGAGTGTCCAAAACCTTTCCCAGCTCTTATACAGTCTGCAGGTAAGAGCATTTCTACATTTACAAGCAGCTCACTATTGTTTTAGCTTTTTCTATATTTAGTTAACAAAGAAAAACCCACTCTTCAGCCTGAATAGATTCATGTATGCTGTGTTTGTGCTATACTGCGCTGAGGTTAGGGCCTGCTCACTCAGATTTGAGTAAACAGAGAATCAAGACTGTGCTCGGTTGTTTGAAGCCAAGGGAAGCAAGATCCAGGGGGTTTTTCCCCACTGATCTTTTCCTTGCTCAGACACATAGGAGGGTCTCTTGTTTTACAAAACAAACACTCCTCTCTGGTATAAAATGTAAATTCCTCTGAGTGATATGTGCGAATTTGCATTGAAAATGTGAGTTTGCACTGTTTCCTGAGTGAATTTGGAGTTTTGATCACAAGAGTGATTTACATATTTAGAATTTGCATCCCCATGTGTCTTTGAAGCCACAAACCACATAGCTACCTGTGAAGAAATGATGCTGCTCAAACAGATACGAAAACAAGGCCACCAGTTGAACCTCATCATCATTTATATCACATTTGCTATTCAAATGCTGCTGTTGCAGCAAACAGGAACTGGAATAGGATTCACATGTGGTAAGATTGTCGAGCATTAACCCATTTTCATAAACCAAATCCCCTATTCCACCAGGCCACGGTGGCCATCCAGGACACCTGCTACGAGGTCCAAAGGCTCCTACTTCAGGAGCGCGGGCGTCCCTCACCCCGTGCCCAGCGACAGTTCTTCTCCACCTTTCGGGGCAACACCCTGCAGGAGCAGGAGAAGCAGCGGAACCTGGAGAAGCGGAAGGAGGAAGTGGCCGCGGCCCAGCGGCTCCAGGATCAACTGCGCCACGAAAAGGAGCGCTGGGAGCGAGAGTGCCAAGCGAGGGAGAGCCAACAGGGGGAGCAGGAGAGCAGGCTCAAGGAACGGGAGCAACGGTGTCAGCTGACAGCAGAGAAGCTGAAGCAGGAGAGGGACGAGTTTGATGAGCAACTGGAGGAGTACCAGCAAAGCCTAGAGCGGCTCAGAGAGGGCCAAAAGAGCGTGGAGAGGGAGCGCACACGTCTGGAGAACCAGCAAAAGCTGTTCCACTCTTGGAAGCACGGGCGTCAGAGCAGCCTGCCCACTGTCACTCCTCACATGGTCATCCCTCTGGACGGCCAGCAGGTACGGGAGGAACAACCAGTTGATTTTAAAATAACTTCTGGTGATCAGTTGGAGGCAATTTGTGACATCTCAGTAATCCTGTCCATTAATACCCTTGACCCTGGAGTTATATTTACACAGCATACATGCAGTGTTTCTGAACATCATTGATAGGAACCTTCCCTCAGACTGACTAGCTCTTAGTTAGGCTGTTTCACGCATTTTCTCAAGAGGCTCAATCCACTCGTAATATACGGCTTGCGATAACGAGAGCAATTTCAGCCCCATTTGTCTTAGTGCACCACCAGCCCCACTTACCAATAAACATCCTAATGATTAATGATTATTAAACTGCTGCAAATAAAAGCCTTGACAAAATAATTAAAACCTGAGGCGCAGAGTCCAGGGAACCAATCAGTCGTGTCCTACAGGCCCTAAATTATTGACGTTGTGTTTTCAAAAGCATCACGGTGAAATATGCCCCACAGCTGGAAGGCACGGAGGATAAAGGGTGTGCTGTTCCCTGCGCCCTTTAACTCCCTTCAACCTGGCGTGGAACAGCAGCAGCGGTGTAACTAATATAGCATGGAGATGCATGTGAGCTTTCAGTGGCTCGCTGGTTTATGTGGCTCCGTTCAGCAGGTGTGTCTGCTCAAAACACACACAGAGCGCCCTCGAATAGACAAATGAGCAGACTCGGGTTACAATATTCCCTCTCTCCCTCATTAATTTACACACCACAGTGGGCTTGTGCAGCCTATGTGTGACGAGGCCCTCCTCGCTTCAAGCAGACTCACTGTATTTATTTCCATTCATTTATTTTCGTCAATGCGGTTGCTGCCCAACAGTGGCGGTCTGACAATAGCGAGCAGAGGCAGTGGAGATCCTAATGTTCCCCTGGTAATGTTTTAGCCAGAGGCAGTAGTTCACAGGGTCAGAGACGGATCGAATGACACACATACACACACACACACATACACACACACACACACACGCATTGGGTCTCGGTTCATTTCTAATTAGCTGTGCTGCCTCTGCTCAGTCAAGTAAAGGCTGTGTTCATAGGATGATTGGAATGCTGAGATGGGGGTGGTACAGTAGGAGAGAATGCTTGGAGCTGGAGCCCCACAGTGACATGTTTCACCAAATATTAAGTCGGTTCACCAGAAGACTCCTACGGTTAGCTGTTGATATGGCTTCTTATGCGCATGTGATTGTGTTTTTGTTTGAACATTTTAGCCGGAAATACTTTTGTGCACACAGTGATTCATCTGTGTTTTTCCATGCTATCCATCCAACCATCCACTCCATAAACGGTAATAACCTTGTACTGACATCAGAATTCGGCAAATGAAGAGCACAAATTTCTGCAAGTCAAGTAAAAAAGAAAGAAGCTAATTTCAGCCCTTATGATGAAGTTTATTTGAAGGACTTTTGACAAGTTTTGTCAGCCATGTTATGGAATCTGTTTCCTGGTTCGTCATGCAAAATGCATGAGCTCACTGATGGACACCGTCCTCTGAATTTCTCTGCTCACAGTTGTTGTTATTCCTCTCTCAGTTGGAAATGTAACTCTGACTTTGTTTCTCTCCCTCAGGACCCACCGCCAAGTCAGTCCATAGCGCACGCCGGCAACGGGTCCGTGTTCGTGAACGAGGCTGCGTTCGCCAGCACCAGCATCAACAACCGCCACACGCACCACAAAAGAAACGATCCCAGCGCACACAACTGCCTCAACACCCTGCTGGCCAGATCTAGCAGCAGGCAACCCGCTATTGTTGCGGCTCCTCACAGCCAACTCGCAGACTCCCAGGAATGGGTGATGGGCACGGGATACCACTGCAGCCCTGCGGGAAGGCTGGGGCTGCAGCACTCAGCCAGTGGTAGGGGATGCCTCTGTGCTGTCATGTCATTGTCTGCCATCGAGAGGTGGTTTCAAATGAACAAAAGTTAAATGGCATTCGGGGGGCTCTTTTCACTTTTGTAGTCATGTGCTTTTGTAATGCATGCTGTGCAGGAATACTTGCAGAGTTTCCTTTTTTTCGCATCAGCTTTGTTGTGGTTGTTCCATGATTTCTAATGGCTCTAATAGATATCTATAGCCCTTTGTCCAGTGCTTATAACCCATTACTGATTGTGTTTTAAATGAGTATTTGAGAACTTTTAAACTCAGCAATTATCAGTGGGCTTTTTTTCCCTCATTCTGAATTACTAAAAATGACATGTTTCCCAAATAAATCATCTCCTTTAAATGATTCATGCGGCGCAAATCCCTTAGATTAACATTTTGACCCAATTCAAGAAAGTCTACCTTTTCGTCGACACGGAAGTTAGCTTTCTTGAAATGTGTTTGGTTTTGTTTGGAAAATTAAATATACAGGATAATCCAAAACTTTATTCTAACTTAAAGACTTGTAAAAAAACAGGCTGAGTGTTCAGATTATATTTTCGACAAATAAATTCACATACATGAATGAGCTAGTATTTACTTTCTTGTATGCTAGGAGTTTTGTCCTAATTATAGAACTTTATGCCGTTCTGTGGGTTCTTCTTGTGGACAGTAAAGCCCTGTGTCATAAAGGAGAAATCTGGTTTTAGCCATGTTGTGCTCTCAAGGCTGTATCCTTGGTGAGGTCTTATCCATAGTTCCTCTCACCCACCCTCCCTATTCGCTACCTTCACCTACACCAGCAGCTAGCCAGAGTCCACCCCCCCCTTCCTCACATGCCAGCCAAAAGAAGGGAAAATCAATGGTTTATCTAGCTATGGCCCGTCAGGACAGACAACAGCATGTGAATCAAAGTTCACATGCAACGCTTGACTGATTGGGACATTGATCTAAAAAAATCTTTAAAAAACTCATTACAGCGTGACTTGTCTTCGCACCAGGTGAAGGGGGGAGGCGCCTTCCTGAGAATGAGAGCATCAGACACAAACGAATCAGTGTTTTACATGGGAGGTGTGACTTCTCATATCCGCCCAAACCCAAAGCAAACATTCATGATCCATTAATCAGATGTTGACTCTTCTGTTTGCAACAGATGAGGAAAACTACAGTTTGCTTTCAGCTCATCTGTCAGCGCTAGCCGAAATGGGGTCAGTGTTAACTGCAGCTGATGCAGAGCTCCAGGAATTGTTTATCAGGCACAGCAGGCAGAGCAATCTCTTCTTCATTGATTAGCTTATTAACCTTTCCTCATTATTGAGCACACACATGCCCCAGAGAAGCTGGAGTCACTTGTTAACAAGCTAGAGGTGGATTCATGGCAGCAATTCACAATGCAGGGTGTGTTTCGGCTAATATCTACCCATAATACATTCCTCAGTGAGTCCCATAAGGACCAGAGATTAAACAATCTGCCATAAAAGATGGTGGATTTAACGAATGAGCTTCTCCTGGTTTCCTCCTTGGTTATACATTTCGATAAGTTGTATTCTTATGATTTTATGGAGATCTGTAAGCACTTTTGTATGACCTTACTCTGAATCTCACACTACCTATTATGAGAAGGCCCTTGGTATCAACCTTTTTTAGCAAGAAAAGAAAAGAAGAATCTTTCAAATGCAAATGTTCAATTGTGCTGTCAGTCACATGATCAGAAAAACGACCACATTTCTCATCCTCTCATGAGCATGTGAGGATTTCCTCTTAGGAACTCGCACACCTTTTTAATTCCATAGATTTCCATAATTTTTCCTGGCACAATGTAATCTTGCAGAACCAGACGGATGGAATTTTTAGAAATGTTTCGTATGACGAGTCGCATCAGGTTTTAGCTTTTCACCTTGTTGTGTAAAGGATAAGAGTAGGAGTAGGTTTAGGAAAAAAGTGAAAAGGACTGGTGCTCTTTTGAGCACGCAGATGAATTCAAACCTCGTGAAATGCGTGACTCCAAAACCTGTTCTGTCACTTCTGCGGCAGTGAGTTACAGTGTGAGAGCAGCGTGTGAATCTGTGTTACAACACTGTGTCGTAACAGCTGACCCAAGACAACACAAACGATAGCATACTGCAAAGATAATCAACAACACATGTGGAGAGAAAGTGCATCTTAATGTAGTCGTTAGAATACTTTGATTTTTACCTAAAAAGAATGCTGATCATACATTTTGTTAACAGTTTTTTCTATTTTACTTCCAGTGGTAAATGAATGGGAGACATTGTGTTTACTGGCAATAAATGAAGGCTTGGCAGCAGACCATAGATGTGACATTGTGCGCTCTGTCAGCACCAGCCATGTGTTTGGTCATTGATAGGTCACATTCAATTTATTTATCATCAAACAACAGAATTTTTTTTTATGGAAATTCAACAGGGCCTCTGGCTGGACCAAAGTGAGGACATATGAGACTGTACGGAATGTCTGACAATTCCAGGAATGGTCTGAAGAGCTGTGGCATGAATCCGAATCTCTGTGCTGCCTTTTCCAAATGATTCATGTTAGTTTATTTTAACATATAGTTCAGTTTCATGTCTATTTTTTAAGTAGATCAACCACCACAAAAGTAAAAACGTTCTTATAGTTTCTTTAAAAGTAATTCCACAAGCAATTTTCCGAATTGAGCATTTTTCCAAATAGTTGTTTTTAAATGGATAAAATTCCAAGAAACATGTGAGTGATTGTTATCACCTGCCTTGGTGTTGATGGCTAATCTATCAAAGAACAGGCCGACACGGTGCCGTAGAGAGCTACTCTAACACACCCTTATATAATTATTCAGAGACAGTCTCCTACAGGGACACAATGAGGCAATTTATGGTTCACGGCATCCGTTACCATGACAGCACGCCGTGCCAGACACTACCCACCATGCAGACAAATGTGAAAATGGAAGTATACCACAAATTCAACCACTAACCACTCAAAATTACTCATGGCCTCTTTCAGGTCTTATTTCACTTAGTAAGGATGTTATTTACTGTATCCCTGAAGGCGACACCCTGTGTCCAGAACACTTACGCAGACTATGCATTTCCCAGCTCAAGTGTTGGAACTATCAGTGACATCTTGGTTATTTATCATTTCTCATTACCGCTCCCCCATTTCCTCATCTCTTCTTGTCAAATGTCAAGTGTGAGCAGGCAGGTGTCATTGAATCCTGACAATTGATTATGTTTACGAAGATAATGATAAATGGGGTGCCGCTGCAGTGAGGGGGGAATGATGGATTGCTTTGAAATCTATTTGTTTTCGTTTTAGTCTTGTTCTCGGGGGCAGGACGAAAGCAGCAGGCCGAGTGGCGGGTGCTGGGTTTGATCTGTGTGCTGTTAGCGATTAGATATGTGACCTAAACGCTTAGCTTGAAGCCATTAAATACTTGGTTCCACGTCGATTTTATTTATTTATTTATGTTGTCAGTAGTTTCTACATGAAGCATCATTTTAAATGTCCCTGGTTACAGAATATTTGTTTCACAGGCAGATTATCAGTTTTGTGTTTTTGCATTTTCCTCTTGTTCTTCTTGTCATTCTGTTTTGTTTATTTTTCCTCAGAGCTGGGCTACAATGGAGAGACCTGGACAACAACAGCAAGCGGAGCTGACCCATATCTAGCGCTCCCTCATCACAGTGACCCTCAGCTGGACTTAAGTGCGCTGGTTTCCTTGGAGACCGACAGCGATGGGGAGGAGAGCAAAGAGGAAACTATTGTGTATCTCTGAATGTGGATCAATCTCTGATGCGAAGCATTGGCAGCATTTTTATTTATTTTTTGACATTTTTGTTCTTTCCATGTTGCTCTCATTTCTTTTTTACTGAAAATTGTAAGTTATACAGCGAGCGGTTAAAAACCATACTATGCACTCGTCATGCACCTTAGCTTAATGTACCTCTTGGGTGTTTGGTGTCCGTCTTCTCTGCCTGCTTTTTTGTGTGTGTGGTCATATATTGAGTGTCATGTCCCCCGCAGCAACAACTTTTCCCCTTCCCCCATTTGCTATCCTTCAACTCCAGTCCCACACGTCTCCTTCCCTTGGGCTCTATATTTATTAAATTTGCCACTGAAGGAGAAAAAATCATTGAGCGCACCCTATATCAGTAAAACATCAGGCTGTGTGTCTCCACCGGGGGGGTTGTCTCACCATCGGAGTAATTTACCCCTCCTCCTTTGATCAGACAGATGCTCCTTATTTACAATGCGGCCCTGGTGTGGAGCGCAGTTCATTTGAATTGAGAGATGAGGAGAGACAGCAACTCTGCCACGCTTCTCAGACTTGCTTGCCATAGTCATAACTTATGTCTTCTTGCTCTCCCTGTCTTTTTTTTTTATATATAGAGATAAAACACAGATTCCTCTCTAAAATAAGGAAGAATTGGTCATGGACATTGGTTGAATAAGATGATTTAATTGTGGCAAATGTCTTTGTTTCATAAAGAAATAACATTGTTTGAAAAAGAATCTATTAACCAATAGGAGGATGAAAATGAGAAATAACACATGGTGAATGAAATCATTTTAAAGCACTAATGCCATTATTTAATGTGGCTCCAGGGACAGTCAGGTGATCGATCTGCCCATCTCTTTGGTCCTGACATATAGACTGAATGCCATTAAATGTCCTGTCAACATTTACAGTCTCTGGAGAATAACCTCTGTTTGGTTTTGAGTGAAATTCTTGATTGATAATGGTATCATCATGGTTTTGGAACAAAAATTAGTATCTCCCTCAGGATTTGTTGAAAGAGAGATGGTCCTTTAACTTTTCATCTTGAGCCGTATTCAGCTCAAGCCTTTAATTTACAAAGAACTGTGGTCTGTGAACCTTAAGGGGAATTCTAATTAAAGTCACCTGCACTTTATGTGTTGAAGCAAAGGCATTTTTTCTGTAGTAGTAAACTAAGACATTTTTCCATGAACGTTTTTGATTTCCACAGAGCAGAGATCTCAATACAGCCTTAAAAAGCTTATGGGGTGTAAAATATCCAGGGAATATCTTTCCTTGTGCCCAAAACCAAACAAAGCTGTCTTATTGTTGGGACTCATACAGAGCTATTACACTTGAATATTATATTACATTTGCATATCATCTCTCATGTGGATTTTTATGTAAACAGATCTGTGCCAATGCTTGGGTGTGTGTTGATTCTTTTTTTAATTACACTTAAAAGGCAATTTGTTTAATTACTGTTGTCGGTTCCCAGAAGGGGAAGAAGTCAGTGGCAGTATTTTTGACACGGCGTTCTTACCATGTAAATACATGTTTGTTGTTCTTTTATTTATTTATTTAGTTAAAAAAAATGTGTCCAACTGTGTTTTAACAAGGGTTGAGTTGTACTTGGATGTGTAGCTGTGTACACAGATATGTTTCCTGGTTGTGTGTTCATGTTTTAAGTAATTAAGCCATGGCTGTGATGTCAAAATTGCAAAATTACAATGTTTTAGTTTTTTCGCTGGGCTGTTTTCTTATGTTTGTGACGTTTATGACAATAAAACGGAATATTTGTTCAAAGAAATACACAAAAGTTCAGCTTGAATGCAAATGCCACCCGGATGTCCTTGGTGTCTCCATCAGCACAAACAGATGTGTGAGAGGGAGCTGCTGTGTGGCTGCCAGCAGTGACAGGTGGCAGACCAGGTGCGTGAATGTCAATGATTTTGCTGTCTGACTGCACGTCTGGATTTCCTGACACATTTCAGGGGCATTACATTCTTTTAAAAGAAGTTGGTTTGGAAATTGCTGACAATCTGGGTCAGTCTCTTGAGGAGACGATGAAATTCAAAAGAAATAGCTCAACTCGAGCTCGCAGGCATTCTGTGACTATGCTAATGCGTCTCACGTTTGCCACCTGTGTCACGAGCTTTTTCCCCTTTTAGGCGGAGTAGCAGAAGCCTGAGATCAGCCTTTGTGCTCTGCACCCAGCACGCATCTGATTATTTCACAGAAGTGCTGCCTGTAAACACCCACATCCTTTCTTTATTAGCTTTATTTTTTGACATATTCTGTTTCGCATGAAATCGTTTTAAGGAAACTGGAATTTTTTTTGTTGTTGTTCAACTTGAAGATTATCTAACCTTGTTCCTTCCTAATATGTCAGCCCCCTGCAACTCATGTTTAATTAAGTTTGAATGAGTGTCAAGCTGATGTGGGAAAAGCCTGAACAAAATAACAAATCAGTTATTTTTTTAATTATCTAGCTTTCTAAGGGGTTTCTAAATGATTAATCTTCTCATTGTGATTTGTGTCAATATGCAAATGATAGTTGTTATTATAGTTATTATTGATGCTGCAGTTATAGTCAATAGGTAAAATTTTACCTACTTGAGTTCTGGAGTGGCTAAGACAGTCATATCTATGCTATAATTACTTTATGTAAAAAACAAAAAAAACAAACAAACAAACAAACAAACAAACAAACAAACAAACAGAACATAATCTTGTTTTAAATTGAAAAAACATATATTTGTCTGTATGGCAAATGCATCAGGTCAGGCTCTCTTTACCCACCAAGTTTCTATCTAAAAGGTTGTTCATTTTAAACTTTTTTCCCCCTTCACAAATATAATTTATGTAGGGACTACAGATACTTTGACTAAAGAAAAAGCAAATAAAAAAACAGACTCAGTTTTGCAGTTTAAATGTATATCAAATCTAATTACCTATATATATATATTTATATATATATTTCTATAGTTCTTATTTTCAACATGCTTTTTTTGAGATTCAGTTGTATGTGGATCTCCTTTAACTTTGAATAGTTATCAAGATATCAATCATTTTACCAGTAAGCTCACTTTTCAAACAGAAGCTATTCTTTCTTCCTTCACTTAGTATTGAAGTTAACATGGAACACTTCATCTGATTAATTTTGAAGTGAGGCAGTGATGTTTCATATTTTTCATTTACTTCACATGGACACAGACGAAGACAAAGGGAGCTGGGAGAGGAGTGGCGCAATTGAAGGCACCACAAGTGTCCGCATGCGTGTAATGGAGATGTGTCCATTTGTTCCGTATCTGACAGGTGTCGCAGCTAAAATTGGTTGTGCCACCATGTTAAACGTCAGTCAACAATCTGGCTTTTTCCAGTACAGCAGATAATTTCTGCTATGATTTTCTGTAAAGATGAGAAAATTGTTATGAAGATGCTTCTGTCTTTGTGCTGGGGAGGCAACAAAAAAAGCAATTTCCTCAACTGGAGATTGTAAACTTCTCTAATAGCGTTAAATTGTTAATAAACATTTAGCATTTCTCTCCTTTTGGCCCTTCTGTATCTGAATTCAATAATTAAAAGTTGTTCTTTTCTCATTAGACTGGGAAGAAACCACAGTAAGCAGCCTTTGCCTGTCACCCAAAGCTGATGTTTAATGACCTTCTGGAGAGTAACCAATAGTACCAAAGGGAAAACCGATAAAGGAGAAATATATTATTGCTGAGTCATCTGCCAGGGTAAAACACCCTTTGCCACAACCTTTCCCAAGGGGAAGTGTAATGATTTCTGTTGGCACACAGAATAAACCTCCACTGCCAAAATATAAATAACAGCTATTAAAGTGTTTCCCAGTGAGGGATACTTTTATGAGAAAGTTGAACAATACACACAAACTCACACACACACACACACATATATATATATCAATCTATGTATATGTACACACGCATATTTAATATGTTTCTTTTTAGGTATGGAGAACCAGCTAAAATGGGAACATTGAGGGCAGCATCTTTGTCCTAACTTGAATTATTATTGTTGGATTTTCATTATTTAGTCGCAAATCTGGTGTCATGTTGTGATGTGAGCCTCGCATTGGCTCTGGTTTTCATTGGTCTCGCTCTTTACATCCATTCAAAGTCGTGTTAATCTCCACTGGGGCTAACTGAATCCAACGGCAATACTGTTTACCCATATTTCTAATTACAGTCCTTTACGTCTAGGACACCTTCAGAGTCAGTCCAGTGTTAGTACCAGGGCCTCAGACAACTGGAACACATGTCATGGATGGCATTGTTTTCTATCATCACCTCAGGCTGTATTAGTAAAGGTAACTATATTTTCAAATTTCTTCACTATTTCTGTAAACTAATGTCTTCTCTTGTAAGTGAATTTAATTAATTTTTCTAATCCTTGGAGGGTCTGAAGTGAAATCATAATCTGTTTTTACAAATTTTATATAGGCTTTTATGTTAGGACTGTGTTTTAAATGTTTATTTGCCTGCATGATTCTCATTAGCAGCTTTCAAATCTCTTCAGGTTTTTAACTTCATGTCAACAATATTGTTCTGAAACTATAATGCTTATCTTTTGAATAAAAAAAGAAATTGAGGATGCAAATTTCTTCCAAATCGAAGCAACATCTGTTTTAAATTGTATCGACTGAGGAGGGATGTGTTGCAACAAATGAAATTGAAAAAGGATGATATCTGTTTGGAGAGAGGCTAAACACAAACTTGCAAATTCTTTGTAACAAAAAGTGCTCTACTTTGCCAACAGTCGGTTAGATTTGCCGTTTTTTTTAACCGGTTTTCATCTGCTCTCTGTTTGTATCAGTTGTTGTAGAATGAGTATAAATCTAAATACCAAGTATATGCTGAAACAAGTCTAACACTCTGAGACATGAAGCCTGCAGGACCTGAAAGGTTACATGAAGCCATCACATTGACATGAAAGGCCCTAAATAACAACCTAAAGATTCCGTTTCCACACAAAGTTAATTTATAAATGGGAATGGCCTTCAATGCAGTTTCATTGGCTGAATGGTCCATGTTTGCCATCCTGGCCAACAACCTCCAATAGTTTTCTAATTTACTTTTATACAAGATACATCAAGCTCAATATTTAGAAAATCCAATGGAAAATAAATGGATGCACAAAATCCAGTATGAATACACTAAAACATCCATGTCCGTCCTGGTTCATTTTTCTATTTCGGGTCAACAAAATCAAGACCTGCCAGGAAAAATGAGTTCATATACCATATTATTTGTTATGGTAATTAGTTTTTTAAGAGAAAGTATGGGAAGAAATGAGCATGGATGCATGTTAAAAATCCAAACAGCATCTGCAATGCCACCAGTGTGATGAATTGCTAAAGTGAAAGCTATACTATATTTCACCATTGGTATCACAGCTGAAATTCTGCATGTAAATATGCTGTCTGCAAGAGAAATTGTGTATCTAATTAAAAAAAAAACCTTCTTGGGAAATGGTCTCAAATGTGCCTGTGGCATTGAGGTATGGCGTCAGCTATCTGCAGCTTAAAGAAAAAAGAGAAAAAACTTTGCTCAGGGTGACTTGAAAGGCCATTTTTAAATGCCTCTTCTAATTGCTGTCTTGGTGGTTTCGCACAAGGAGGAGGTGAGACATCTCCTGGGTGTACCTGCACACGCAAAAGGGCCTTGCCTGTCAACACTTGAGGAGTAGAGGACAAGCACGTGACACTGTTCGTGAGAGCGCGAGGATGAGCTGTTCACTGTGATCCTGCACCGTGACTGTGGGGTTATCCTAAACAATGGGCTCACTCATTATCTCAACCCACCCACCTGCCTTTCAAAAGGACCCTCATTTTCTTTCTTTGTCCTGCCAATTATAGAGGACTGTCAAGTGTCCATGCGTTGGGAGTGTGCGCAAGTGACATTGTAATTACCAAGTAATAGATAACGCAAAAGCAGGGCGCTGTGCAGGTTTCAGCCCACAGTATAAGATCATTTGGGGAAATTTAGCCTGCAGTCATACAATAGCAACACAGTGTTATCTTTGACAGTTTTGCTCATGCTGTCAACTCTTTCAAGATTTACTATTTCAGTTTTGTTTTGGGGATTTATTGTGAGCCTTCTGGTGTAAATCCGTGCAAGAACTTTAAAACACATGAGTAAAATCTGACACTTTTGACATGTCTAAAAACATGTTATGGCATTTCTGGGAACTGCACACAGAAAGGCTTAAGCCAGGATCAGGATCAGGAACTCGGTAATCATGGCACCACAAGGCAGCCTTGCAATATTACGAGAAAGTATTCTTTTTTTCCCCCAGAACTCCTTGGTCGACCCATTATTTTCCTTTGTTTTTTTGTTTTTTTCCTACCATCAGAGATGGCAAAAGTTATCAAATAGCATGTTGGCTCTGACAGATCAACACTTGGCCATCAAAATAGGTGAACACAAGGTCAGTTCTGTCCTCCACCCACCCATGCTCAGAGGAACTGACAATGACAGCTTTCAGGGGTAATTTTCTCTCAGTTACGTGCGCAGTATCCCTGTTATCAGGCCAGAAGACTTGAGGCAGTGATGCTTTACATCAGCGAAATCCCAGCAGATTAAAGGTTGCATGCTTCCTGTGGAAACAAGTCCAAATGCATTTCCTTTGACCAATGAGATAAAGTAACTGATTCTCAAAATTATTACATTTGTGTTAAAGTAATCGATTCAATATTGGGCGGATGGAATGGCAGACTGACAGAATGACTGATTGTCTCCTAACCTGCCCATGAATGCTCTTATTTTCCTTTTTTCTCATCTT